AAGACCAGGACGTGCTGGCCTTGTACTAAGCTGCTGAATCTCTTTAGGGCCATGGCTCTTAGTTCCAGCCAGTTTATGTTGTTCTTTAGATCCTGCTTGGACCACTGACCCTGGGCCCAGTGTGTGTGGAGGTGTGCCCCCCACCCAAACAGGCTTGCGTCTGTGGTGACGGTGATCCTGTCCGGTTCTTTGAATTCTGCTCCCCGTGACAGTGCCGGAGAGTCCCACCAACGAAGGGAGTTCAACACCGCCTGTGGAACTCGGACCTTCTGGTGGGATGTGCTGGTATGAAGTCTCTGAAATGGAAGGAGAAGCCACTGTAATTCCCTGGCATGGAGACGTGCCCATGGCACAATTTGCACGCAGGACACCATCTTCCCTAGTAGCTGTGAAAGGGATGCCAATGTGACTACTCTGTCCCTTCGGATCCGACGTACAAGAGTCTGGATAGAGTTCCGTCGGTCCTGAGATAGGTAGACCGTGCAGTTGTCTGTGTCTATAACTGCCCCCAAATGGAGGAGCCGAGTTGTTGGTATAGTATGACTTTTCTGGAAGTTCACAGAAAAACCGTGCTCCTGTAAAACCTTAATGGCTAGGGCGAGGTCTGCTTGGGCACTTTGCCATGATGATGACTGAATTAGAATGTCATCTAAATAACATTGAATCCTGATGGGAATTAGTCTAAGGTGGGCTGCGATCACTGCCAGTACCTTTGTAAATACTCTCGGTGCAGATGAGAGGCCAAATGGAAGGGCTCTGTACTGGTAATGGCGTCGGGCATAACTAAATCTGAGGAATTTGCGGTGTCCAGGAAAAATGGGAATGTGCAAATATGCCTCAGTCAGGTCTATGGAGGTAAGAAAGTCACCTTGCCTGACGCTAGCCAGGATTGATTGAAGTGATTGCATCTTAAATTTCTTATACCTCAGGTAGAGGTTTAGACCTTTTAAGTTCAAGATCGCCCTCCAGCCCCCTGAAGCTTTGGAAATGACGAAGAGGTCTGAGTAAAACCCTCGCCCTTCTTGTTCCTTTGGAACTGGTTCAATTGCTTGTATTTGCAATAAATGAGCTATTGCTTCTGACATAAGTTCAGCTCTGGTCCTGTTCGTTGAAATAGGGGAAGAGCGGAACCTGTCGGGTGGATGGGAATAAAACTCTAATCGTAGACCTTGGGAGACGGTGTCTAACACCCATGCATCCGTAGTAGTGGCCGCCCAAATGTTGGAATAGAGGGCCAGCCGGCCTCCTATGGGAGGTGAGGCTGCAGACTCACTTGCCTCGCTTGAAGGAGCGGCTCCCTGTGCCCCGAAAGGACCGTTTAGTCTGGAACTGTGGTCTGCCTCTGTATGCTGAACGATCTTGTTGTCGTTCCTGCCTCTGAAAGGAGGGGCGAGAGGCCTGGGCCCAATCCCAGGATGGCGCTGGCCGAAAGGGCTGCCTTCTGTAGTTACTCTGCGACAAGTTCCCCCAGCGCCTATCTCCCCTCCTTGATGTATTGACCAGGATCTTGCGTTTATCCTTACCTTCGGTTAGGTATGGCTCTAGCACCTTACCAAAGAGTTGTCCACCTGTGTAAGGCTTGGAGGCCAGACGCCACTTGGCCTTGGTGTCTGCTCGCCAGTTCCTGAGCCAGAGGAGTCTTCGTGCTGAAATGTCTGCCGCGATGGTCCGGGCAGTGTATCTGGCCGTGTGTAAGGAGGCATCGGCCAGATACTGGGACGTGGACACCAACTTACCCAGATTCTGGTGGACTCTGAGCTGGTCTGGAGGGATCATGTCCTGGAGCTCCCGTAGCCACAGGACCGAAGCCCTGGCAAAGAAGGCCATGGAGGTTGCCGCCCTCGTTGCCCAGGCTGACGCTTGGTGGGCTCTGCGTAGGGCAGACTCGATCTTCTTGTCCTCTGCTCTTAGTGCCTCATTTATGTCCCCAGGAATATTGGACTTGGGAAACAACGAGTTCAAGGGTTCATCAATTTCGGGTATCTCCAAAAGGGAGGTCAGGGAAGGAGCGACGTTGAACAATTGTCTTTCTACTGCCCCAGGGCTCAAGGGGGACCCTAGGTTCTCCCATTGCTTCTGGACCATCTTTAGGAAAAGGGGAGGGCAGGGAATATGATTCTGTGAGACAGAGGGTTCAGTGTAAATGGCATGGGGACCTTGGGATGTTGGTGGGGTCTCCTATTGTTGAGTGAGGTTAGCAGTAGTACAGGCTTTGAGTAAGAGAGAATTAAAAAAGGAATGGTCAAAGAGACCAACAGGAGGGGTGGGTTCGGATGGGGCGATGCCCTCGTCCTCAGACAAGATCAGGTCAGGTTGTTCAGCTCCCGTAGACTCCAGGTCTGATGTGGGGCCATCCGTCCAGTCTGGAGATTGTGAGTGATGTGCGGTCTGGGAGGGTGGCTGTGGAGTGTTGGAGGCCATAAATTGAGCCACAGCCTGGGCTATCATGGACTGGAGCAAGTTTGGGTTCAGGGCCTGGTTCTCAGGGAGGCGAAGCCCTGCTGCAGTGGGTGTAAATGTGGCCTGGGGCCCTGAGGTGTCCTGACCAGTCATACCCCTCCCTGAGGTCACCGCTATGCTTGAGTCTGACTCGGCAATTCCTCGGGGGGGAGACCAAGCCCCTGGGGCCGAGGCACTATGTGAAGAAAGGGGCTCAAATATAGACCTCCCCCTTGTGCCTGCCAAATCTGGGGATACCGTTCTCGGTCCTTGGCCCCCTTCCTCTCTCTGTGGCTCCCTGCTTAGTCGGGCTCGCTTGGTGGTGCTCTTTCCACTTGCCTCTGATTGGCGACTTCTCTTGACCGACTCGCTGCCTCTCTCCGCCATGACGGTTGCTCTGGTCTCAACCTTGGCAAAACGCCCCCTCAGCGTTGTAGTTCACCAAGGGAGTCTACAGAGATAATTCAGCCCTAGAGGGGAAGGGCAGGGAACTGATGTGGGCACCCCGATCACTCAGGATCGATCAGGCCCTCCCCGGTCGGAGCTGCTCTCTGAAGCGTTGGCCACCGATGATCGAATGCTGCCTTCAGAAGAAGATTCCAGGCAGCCTGAACTCCGGCCACAGCCCAAAAGGCCTCCAGTGGCTTTAGCCACGCACAAAATGGCCGACGATGAATTTAGCAACAATTAAAATGGCCGCCGGGGCCTCAGCCCCACTCAAATTGGGCGCTGAGGCCTCAGCCACAAACAAAATGGCCACCGAGGCTTCAGCCTCACTCAAAATGGCCGCCGAGGGCTTCAGCCACAAACAAAATGGCCGCCGAGGCTGCAGCCTCACTCAAAATGGCCGCCGAAGGCTTCAGCCACAAACAAAATGGCCGCCGAGGCTTCAGCCCCACTCAAAATGGCCGCCGAGGGCTTCAGCCACAAACAAAATGGCCGCCGAGGCTTCAGCCCCACTCAAAATGGCCACCCGTGACTTTCGCCACTCCCAAAATGGCCGCCGGAGGTAATTCAAAATGGCGGCCGCCAATTTGGCGCCTTAAAAAGGCCCAGAAAACAAACGGCCGTTGGAACGAGGCCTTGAGGCCCGGGTTGTGAGCTGCGACGAGCCCTCGTTCGGGTGAATCGCCTGGGCTCCTAAGCAGCTGGTGGCATGCAATTAGGTCGGCTGAGCTCCGAAAATTGGGTCGCGCCCAATTCCTCACCTGTTGCTGCCGGCTGTGAACGAGGGACCTGGGAAGGCTCCCTGCCGGCCTGGCGAGGCTCGACGATCGTTGCGGAGCCCTCAGTGCGATCGGCAATGCCTCCGACGATCAGCTGGCAGTCGGAGGATCGCAAGGCAGCTCCGGAAAAAAACGAGTGATTTTGAAGGTTAGAATTGCTGTCCCTAACTGATTGAAACGAACAAGGGGAAACTTCCCCCCCCAGGGGGAGGGGGTGCGGGTCTGTCAGCCTAAATAGGCTTCAGACTGGTCTAATTGATCCTTTTTCCTAGCTAATAATCGATTCAATTCAACAATAAAAAACAATTAATACTAATAGCCTGAGCTAGACAATTAAATGGAATCTAACAGTCTTCTGCTCCAGGAGCGAAGACAAAACGCGTCTTAGAGCAAATAGGACTAAGTCTAAAACTGGGGTGCACTTGGCACAGAGGGGGCGTTACCAATTTCAGACTTAGTCCAATTGGACCAGATAGATTAAGACAACCCATCCGTGGGTTCTCCATCCAATCATGCTGGAGAACAACAAATTCATAAATGTATAGCACAACATAGGAGAACAAACCCATCAGGACCAGATACAGCAGTCCATCTGCATTTAAAAGACAAAGGCCACTCTTTTAAAGACAGCAAAGTTCATATTTTGGACAGAGAGGACCACTGGTTTGAAAGAGGGTCAAAGTGGCCATCTATGTCAAAACTGAACAGCCCTCTCTCAATAGAGGGGGAGGGATACAACATCATTTATCTCCAGTCTACAACACAGTCCTTTCAACAGTTGCAAGAATGCTCCACACACATTTGCACCACTCAGGTGACCCTGAGGACACAGATAAGCCTCTAGGTAGCATTAACAACTCATTAAAAGAATTAAAATGAACAGCTGTCTGCAAGGAGTATAAATTTTTTCCATTCCCCACCATCCAGTCAGAGCTGAAGAAGCTTCTTGGATGAGAAGTGAAACGTCTTCAAAGAAAAAAAACAAGAAAGTCCAGTTGCCTCGTGAAAAAAGCATCTTTGGGATAACTATGACCTGGATGACTGAGAATCTTCATAGACATAATAAGTAATGTGTTTTGAGAAAAGGCTATAAATGTGAAGGAAATTCTAAGGGTCACTGTCATGTCACATTTTTCCTTTACCTAGCTTTGAATTCAAGGATGCATCTCCATTTGATGGATCACCTAACCATGTAGGCTTAAATCATCACATGCTCATAGCCATGTTATAAATCTTGCTTTCAAGTCCTATTTGCATGAGTAGAAATGCAGCCCTGCTTTGAAGTTCTGGCATGAATTCATCCATTCCCTCTTCTGTGCATGGTTTTTGTTGCAGCTGACCAGAGAGTTTTTTACCAAGGAACTGAAAAAGCATTATCAGGGGAACAATGAATCAGATGTCTTTTCTTCCACCTGGAACTCAGTCATGATCACAGTAAGTACTTGATTGTTTAATGCATCCTGATATGGATTTTTTTTTTTAAAATCTTAATTACCGAGCAGAGTCAAGACTGGCTCATGCTTGCCTGGTACCAGGAAATCCCAGGATTGTAGACTAGACTATATTGGGAAATCCTGCCTACCCCGCCCCCCCCCCAAAAAAAAATCAATGGCAAGCAACTTAGGAAGTTTTGCCAAGAAAACCATAGACATGAGATTACTAGGAGCGGGACTTGACTCAAAGGTAAACAATTGCCACTCATTTTATATAAAACAGTGGCTGGCAGTTGTACAAAAGAATAAAAACACAATTAATTTTGACAGAATAGGTAAGAAAAGCAAAAGAGGGAAAAAAGTAGAAGGCTCATCATCCTAGCAGTATAAATGCTTCTATTCAGATTCTATAGGATTTTCACTCTGGGAATTAAGATTTTAAGATTATAGAGCCGTGGTGGCGCAGTGGTTAGAATGTAGTATTGCAGGCTAATTCTGCCAACAGCCAGCAGTTCGATTCTGACCAGCTCAAGGTTGACTCAGCCTTCCATCCTTCTGAGGTCAATAAAATGAGGACCCAGATATGCCCATTCTGTAAACGCCTTAGAGAAAGCGGTAAAGCACTTTGAATCAGCATATAAGTCTAAGTTCTATTGATATTACAGCACTAGAATACAATTTTGCATCTCTGTGTTCAGAAATTAAACGGTGAGACTTTCTTCCAATTAGGTGTGAGTAGCCCAAAGAGAAGTCTTTCTAATGTGCCAAGTGTTCTAACCATAAGAGAATGGCAGAAAAAGTGAGCAGGTGACAACTGCAAATTTCTACCCTTTTCTTGACACCATTTATAGGCCTGGCACTCAAACGACCAACTGTTTGTCTTTATCTATTGGCTGGGCTGCATTCCTCTAGTTTGGGGATCTGCAAGGTATAAGTTTGAGGCACCTCCTGCTTCTTAGCAATGGAAGCCTTTTTTCAACATAAGTAAAGCAAAAACTGAAAGCAAGTCTGCCAGATATTGAAGGAGCAAAATAAATCTCTGTGGGATATGTGTGTGAAAGACCAGCAACAATGTTTTTTCCCAAGTAGCTTTTCTAGTGCCCATTTTGTTCTCTGTTCATTGCAAAACAAAACAAAACAAAAAATTAATTGTGCCGGGCTGCTTAAATTCTGATATTTAAGTTGTTCTATACGCTGCTGATTTAGTTAATTTTCAGGCAGATATCACCATTAAGGAACTCATGCCTTATTTTATGGAAATGATCTCATTTGGCACCACCAGAGGATCAAAGGCAGCAATTTGAAAATGTTCTCATTAAGTTCTAATGAAGGTTGTTATTGCTGTTGCTTTAATTGTGTCACTCCTCTGGGAAATTGCTGGGTCTTAACATATGCAAGTCCATATGTAATGCTATGTCGGAATTTTTATATTACATTTTCTCGAACAAGCACAGAAACCTGGTTCATTCTTAATACAAAGCCATCATGGATGGGTTCATATAATGACAAAAATAAACAAACCATGTTACAACTAGTGCAAAAGAGATTGTGATATTGAAAATATAATTTTTTATATTATAGCATTAAAGAAACTGAACACTTGCTTAGTTTACACAATAGTTTTATGTTTCATAAACACAGAAAATAGCCAGCTGTTCTATTGGAAGCTAATCCAAAGTCCCAGGCTTTTCACACTCTCTTGATTTGCTTATTTATAACTGAGGATTTCAACAAATGCCGAAACTGAGGTCATATCCATGATGACTAGAAACATATTTGTTTTGTTTTATTTTTTTTAAATAAAATTGTAATGTTTAGGAAGGAGTAGAAATTTACATCAAGTATCAAATGATATCCCCAGTTTATACATTCAGAAACCCTATTTGGGTTCTTATTGCATGTCTTCAGATTTCCTAGAAACCAACCTAATTCTGCCACAAACACATTAACCCTTTGATCACCTTTCACACGTGCTAGTTTGGCTGCTGTGGTGTCAATGGCCCAGAAGATTTTGAGGCACCCTCTCATTCCATTCTTCTGGATTCCCATCCTGCTGTTCCTGAAGCTTGTTGTAAACGGGAGCTGCAGTCTCGCGATGGAGCATTCATCAATAAAGAAGAATGTTTGAAAGGAAAGGAAGTCTATCAGAACCAACAGGTAAAGAAAGGACCAAAATACTTATAAATAATTTAGACAGAGGGATAAAAGTGTGATGCAAAAGTTCCTGCCTTCATAGGATTCTTACCTGAATGATTGAAGACTGTACTCTTTCTTTGGGTAAACTTTCTTTTTTTCTTTTTGTACAATTAGAATAAAATAATGAAAAAGAAAAAAAATAATATGAACAAAAATCAGGGTTTTGTTAAGTTCAAGTGTAGAAGAAGATGTTATTTTGTTCTCTTGCAAAGCTCTTATGACATTTACATTTGCAAGAAACATCATCTAGCATAAACATATTTATTTATTTATTCAAGTTCTATAGCCTCATATCTCAATCAATAACTTACAATTAAAAAAAAATATATGTTCATTCTGCTAGATTGAGTTGGATGGGTAGAGACTGTTGGGAAAAGATGATCCCTTAGGTAACCCATCCCAAGCCATGTAGAGCTTTAAAGGCGATAATCAGCACCTTGAAATGCACCTGGAAACACACACCAGTAACCAATGCAGCTCACACAGAAGACATGCTATGAGTGCTGTATATCTGGCACCATTTACTACCGATGCAGCCATATTCTGCACCAGTTGATTGTCTCCAAATTCTCTTCAGGGTCAGCCTCATGTACAGCTTGTTGCGGTTGTTAAATTTTGGGAATTGTTAACTAATATTCAAAAAGGACCACGCAAGCACAGGCATAGAGCACGTCTGCAGAATAGTGGAAAATGAACCAAAGAATCTTGCAATAGTGCTTCTACTCAGAAAGCTTACATGAACAGCTTAAGCATCACAGAGATATTATAGCCTGTCTTCTGATCTAAATTTGTTTCAAAATATAAAACAAGTTGATTAACCTTAGAAGTCCAATTTCCTGACTTACTTGTGGTGAAAAACTAAACTGTCAAATTCTGCTCCCTGTAGCTTCTGCCTATTCAATAACGCTGAGTAAGTCAGGCCTGCCTCAGTTCATTTAGGGACCATCTTTGATAGGGCATAACACATTGTGCCTTCCCAGTTGCAACCCTCTTTTCTCTGGAATAGTTTAACTCCTGCAATCAAATCAGCCTCAACCCTGTTGCATTTTAGAAAAGCTTATAAAAAGGAGGAAAGGAGCTGGGATTTGCTGAGAGCCCCGGTCTTGAATTGTAGAGGAATATTTATTCTTCCTGAATGGATATATTTTTCTTTGTAATATTATAAAAATGTGATTATAATTATTAGATTAGGATTTTATATTTTTATATTGGTTGTCCCAAAGATGCATTTTCATGAATCAACTGTACTTGACTAAACTAGTAGATCAGCAAAACGCAGTGGACGTAGTATACTTAGATTTCAGTAAGGCATTTGACAAAGTAGACCACAACCTACTAATTGGCAAACTAGAAAAAGGTGGAATAGACAACAGCACCACCAGATGGATCTGTAGCTGGCTGACAAACCGTACTCAGTGAGTAGTCCTCAATGGCAATACATCCACATGGAGAAAAGTAAACAGTGGGGTACCACAAGGTTCCATCTTAGGCCTAGTACTCTTCAATATCTTCACTAATGACTTAGATGAAGGAATTGAAGGGGAACTCATCAAATTTGCAGATGACACCAAGCTGTCAGGAGTAGCCAACACACCAGAAGACAAAATCAGGATCCAAAAGGATCTTGACAAACTCGACCAATGGGTCCTATCCAACAAAATGAGTTTCAATGTGGAAAAAAAGTCTTACACTTAAGCAGGAAAAACCAAAGGCACAAATACAGATTGGGTGAGACTTGGCTTAAAAACAGTAACTGTGAGAGGGACCTTGGAGTCCTAGTGGACGATCACTTGACTATGAGCCAGCAGTGAGCAGCAGCAATCAAAAAAGCTAATACAGTCTTGGGTTGTATAAACAGAGGCATAGAATGAAGATAACGTAAGTACTAGTACCACTTTACAAAACCCTAGTAAGACCACACCTGGAATATTGCAGCCAATTTTGGTCACCATATCACAAAAAAAGATGTTGAGACTCTAGAAAGAGTACAGAGAAGAGCAACAATGATTAGGGACTGGAGGCTAAAACATATAAGGAACGGTTGTTGGAATTGGGTATGTCTAGTTTAATGAAGAGAAGGATGAGGGGGAACATGATAGCAGTGTTCCAATATCTCAGGGGCTGCCACAAAGAAGAGGGAGTCAAGCTACTTTCCAAAGCGCCTGAAGGCAGGACAAGAAGCAACATGTGGAAACTAATCAAGGAGAGAAGCAACCTAACCAGTGGAACAAACTGCCTCCAGAAGCAGTGAATGCTCCAACACTGGAAGTTTTTAAGAAGAGACTGGACAGCCATTTGTCTGAAATGGTATAGGGTTTCCTGCCTGAGCAGGAGGTTGGACTAGATGACCTCCAAGGTCCCTTCCAACTTTATTATTATTATTATTACTAACTAAGATGATCAATGATCAAAGGCCTGGACGCTAAAACATACAAAGAACAGCTGAGGGACTTGGGTTTGGATAGTCTAAAGAAAAGAAGAAATAGAGACATAACAGCAGTATTCCAGTATCTGAGGGGCTGCCACAAGGCAGAAGGGGTTAAGTTGTTCACAGAGCACCAGAGGGAAGGATAAGAAATAATGATTGGAAACTAATCAAGGAGAGAAGCAACCTGGAATTAAGGAGAAACTTTCTGACAGTGAGGACAATCAACCAGTGGAACAGGTTACCCCCAGAAATCGTGGGTGCTCCATCACTGGAGATTTTTAAGAAGAGACTAGACAATCACCTGTCCAAGATTGTGTAGGTTCTCGTGCTTGAGTAGGGGGCTGGACTAGAAGACCTCCAGGGTCCCTTCCAGCTCTATTATATTCTATTCTATTCTGTTCTGTTCTGTTCCGTTCTATTCCATTCCATTCCATTCCATTCATCCAAGAAGCTTCGTCAGCTCTGACTGGATGGTGGGGAATGGAAAGATTGATACTCCTTGCCGACAGCTGGCCATTTGCATTCTTTTAGAGAGTCATTGATGTCACCTGGAAGCTTATCTGATAAGCTTGGAGGTGGCCTCAATGATTCTGTAAAAGAATGTAAATGATCAGCTGTCTGCAAGGAGTATAAATCCTTCCATTCCCTTCCATTCCCCACCATCCAGTCAGAGCTGAAGAAGCTTCTTAGATGAGAAGCTAAACATCTTCAAGGAGAAAAAAAAAGGTCCAGTTGCCTCGTGAAAAAAGCACCTTTAGGACAACTATGACCTGGATGACTGAGAACCTCCATAGACTTTTATACTGGCTGTTTTTATTAATGGTGGTACACTGCCCAGAGACACATTTTGTAAGATAGGTAGCTGTACATGTTCAATGAATGAATGAATGAATCCTTTGTAATGTTACTTAATAATTATTCTGTTGATATTTATTCCTTTGTTCTATTGTGGTTTTTTTTAAAAAAAAAATTAATCTTTTTACAGAAAGAAGAGATTGGAACCTGCTCAGAGTCCCGTTGGTTTGGAGTGTTATATAATTTATTAATTTTTTTAATGTGTTCTGTTCTCCTTTTGAAAAGTTCTTTCACTAGCTGTTTGCAAGGTTATTAACTGAATGTTCTCATTTTGCATAGACATTTGTTTCAAGATCGATTTCTTTATTTCTTCCTAGGGTTGTTACACTGTGATCCTGAATTCCCTTGAAACCTATGTATATCTTGCAGGAGCTCTTGCCATTGGTGTTTTAGCCATTGAGGTACGGTACAAACTGGGATCCGGCTGGCCACAATCATGCCAAAAGATGCCTCCTTTCCCTTATGTTCACACCACATCCCCTCCCCCTCATCTGAATTTTTCCTTTCTGTTCAGAAAGTAGCTTGTAGGAATGTGTAAAAAAAAATAATTTAGAGCAGTATTTCTCAATGGAGTTCAACTTCCAGAATTCCCCTGGCTGGGGAATCATCTGACAATTGCCAAGTTTGAGGAAAGCTGATTGAGGCACTTCACTGGCATTTCTTGCCATTCCCAGCTACCTGGGTGATTCTGGGAGTTGAAGTCCACAAGTCTTAAATTTGCCAAGATTGGAGACCCCTGCCTTAAAGCAACTGGTGGTTGAGAAATCAACTGATTAAAGTTAGGTGTGACTCTCAAAACAGCTCCACTCCTCTTATTATTATTAAGCTGGTTTTGAAGTCTGAATTTTGAATAGGCACTGAAAATCCTATACAAGCCCAATTGCTAACTTGAAGTATGTATATGTGCTGGGAAACAACTGTCCTATACTGCCCTCTTGTGTTAAGCATAGCATACTCACTCATTTCAAATGGATATGTTTGAGATGAAGTTAGTTTCACTTAATAAAAATGCGTGGAAACAAAGCAGTTATTTACTTTTCTAATTTAGCATTCATTGGAAAATTATTTCTGTATTCAGTTATGGATCAGTTTAGTAGTTCTTTTTAGGTTTTTGTGCAGATTATCGAGATTTGACAAGGTTGCTTAAATTTCCATCCATTGCAGGAATAAACCACCCTGATTTAGGGCAAGGGTGTCAAACTTGCAACATCATGTGACATGTCGCGACATATCACGCCTTTTTTTCCATTGCTGGCAATGGGGTGGGCACGGTTTCACCATGACACATCCGGCCGATGGGCCAGAAGTTTGACACCCTTGGTTTAGGGGGTCCTGGGCATCCTTCAGCGGTTGGTGATTCTGCAGTTAAATGTATGTCACAGCATCATTTCAGCCCCTCATTAGATTATTTGAGCCAAAGAAAAGGAGATGGAAGAAACTATTGGAATTAGTCAACTAAAGGAAGTACTTTGGTCCTCTTAAAGAGCAGAAGCTTTAAATTGATCGTTGCCTCACAGGCAGGCCACATAAATAATTAAGTAAAAGGAGTGATATTACCTCAGCAGGACTAAGTTACTATTTAGTGATTTTTTTTAGCAGAGAAATTTTGGAACAAATTTGTCCAACTGGCCCCCAAAACTTTTGGGCTAAGGAAGAACAAAATTCCCTCCCTTTTTTTATAAAAAAAGCATACAAACCTGAATCAGAAGAAAAGTATTAATGATTTCCATGCAGAATTCTTCTTTTGGATAAAGTTGATAGGTCTTTGATTGAATCCTAGACTTATTCTTCCAGTGGTTCTCCCTTGTTTTCTTTTGCTAAGTGTAGCTAAACATTTCTGTTATAATTAGATTCAGTGGGCACCTATTTTGCCATATTAAATATAAATGTAGCCTTTGACATAGCATATACATACATACTCCCTTATACGCTTCTAATGCTTTACAGTTTCATAGAGATAGATAGGCAAAACATACAGATCTACATACATTCACATTCATACACATTTTGCTCTTCATATTTTATATGGTTCTTATACAGAACTTCTTTTAAATTTATAAGTTTATATCCTTTATATATTCTATGTCTACTTTATATGGCTCTTACATTCAACTTTTTACCTATTATATTTTAAAGTTTCGTCACAATGACTATTTGTATAACCTCTCCCCCTTTTGAAGATCTATGACTGAAATATGTAAAACTAAAATGGATTTGGTTTGATCTGTAATAACCAGGATCCCCTTTTTTATTTTATGTCCTTCACAGCTGTTTGCTATGATCTTTGCTATGTGCCTCTTTCGGGGGATCCAGTAGGAAGTGTTTCATGAGCCACAAATGATTTTTCAAAGACTTGCTTTGAAGAAGGAAAAGAAAAAAGATAAACTTTTATTTTTTGGTTAGCAAACTGAAAAAGGAGGGAAAGGACTGTAATATATTAATGATCAAAAGGATTGTACTTCAGGGGCTGGAACTTTGAGGTGCTGTCTAGTTCCTTGCCATCTCCATGAGGAGTCATTCATCTGAAGCCACTAAAATGGATTGCACTAAAGGCCTGCAAGTCAGGATGGAAAATGAACTTTAATAATATCCAGGATGTTGTCTGGAACACACATCTCTCGTACAATAATAATCCATTGATTGAGGAAGATAAAGAAGACGACTACCTACTTTAAACGAGATCTTCATTTAAAATACTAACATTGTCATCCAAAGCATTGAGATGTATACAGATTACTTCAGTTTTAAGCTAAGAGGGGGAAATGTATTGGCAATTGACTTGCAAGCGTTCTACCAAGATGAATAGTTTTCCATCTCTTGTCTGATCCAGAAGATTCAAGCATTCCTGAATGCTTGGAATGGAGAATGCCCTCTCCAAGAACCTAGAGGATGGGTTGTGTGTATCAGATCTAATGGTGAAAAGTAGGGTAAGCTGAAATCAGTGCATACCATTTTAGTGCATACCATTGAATTTTCTGATCAGTGTTACGTGAGAACAAAGACTAAAGCAGCTCAGCTGCTGGTTCCCTCACCTTAAAAGGAAAAAAAAAGTATGTTCTTGTCTAGAATTGTTGGTGCTGTCTCCCCTAAGGAGATGTATCTGTTTGGGGTTTTTTAGGCTTTTGAATGTCTTGTCACCATCATGCTCTGTGAAAAATACATTGCCAAGTTTGGCCTTCATAGCAATTGATTAGATTGGTGTCTTGTCCCCCATGTGCCTTTCAACTGTGTTAAAAATAATCCCCAACACAACAAGCATGGAAAGCAGTGAGGCACTTTTGCAGTTGCCTTTTGAAAAAATTAATTTGTAAGTTTTGTGGCTGTTGCTTCTGACCTAGGCATTCTTAGCTTAAAAAAAACAACATACTCTGATTTTTTTTTTCCTTTCATTTTGAACTGTTGCCAAGTTCTAGCTTCAGTGGTCTTTTATCCGCTAAGCAAACACAGACAATAAGCCCAAGAGGCAGAACTGAAGTTCCAAGACATATAAGCAGTGATGTGTAAAACATTTGAAGTATGAAGAAGTTTGAGCTTGAAACTTTCCATTTCAAGTTTTAAATAGTTTCTTCTTGTCTGAAATGGGTTTCCCTGACTACTCCAGAAGAGTCAAAGTGCCCCAAAACACTTGTTTCAAACTGGTAATATTTTGTTTGTCCTTAAATCCAAGCTAAATTCGTTGCCTAGGATTCTGATGAATACGTAATTTAGAGTGAAGTTGCATTATTACTGAATGGTGGACAAAGTTGTAAACTGGCAAAATAATGTGATATGACATTTTTTAAAAAGATGGCAACCTACTATTAAAAGTATGAACAAGATGTGGTGACATTGGATGCCAAAGATAAGATATTGAGAATCCCTGTTGAAAGCAATAACTACAGGGTGTTCATCTATAAGTAATAATCCCCAGAGGTATATAGCTTTGGGGGGAGAAACCCCTAGCAATTATTATTTGATATGAGATGAAAACATGCTAGAACAATCATAGTTTTGATGACTGTTTGGTTAATTAACATATAAGTTAAGTCTCAGTGCAATCTTTGACAATTTCCCTAACATGGTTTCAGTGTTATTTCATTCAGTTCTGTGCATTTAGAATTCACAATGGCTTCCAAACATAACAAAGACATGTTTGCAGGATCTGCAGAAGAACTCTGTTAATTGGACTCATCTAGAGATAATGGCCTACATCTCCCACAATACATGAATTTGGGGGGGCAGAATTCTATTTGAACAAAATCTCAGGATGTAAGCAGAGAGACATAAAAAGGGGTGTGTGATTTAGTAACTTACTATTGGCTGCTGTGATGGGGCAGATTCAGCCATTGAGTTGCAGGTGATCGGTGGCTGTTTAATTCCAATTACACTTAGCCTAAGCCAGCAGGAAGCACATTAAGTGTGCTATTAATTTTTATACAGAAATCTCCAAAGTTTCAATACATTTACCAAGCTATTTCAAGGAATTTGCCCTGAGATATGTTCTCCATCTTTCCCCACTTCCTCCAAAAGATACTCATACCCTGAAAAATGAAACTAATTAAGTGACAGATGGGACAGGTGATGGCAGAACTAAGACAAGTCTGATATAGTTTCCTGATATTCCCTTTCTGTTTCAGAATCTCAGTGCCTATGTGTCTTTGCTCTAGCTTACCTGGTGGTTTTCCAATTTCTGACTCATTCTGCTATCTCCATTTGCTCTCCAATTTGAACATCTTTCTGGTTTCATCTGCCCTTTCCTTTACTTCAGCACAGGCACTCTTGATAATCCCAAAGAAAATCCTAAAGCAGGAGTCTTTAAACTTGGCCCTTTTATGACTTGTGGACTTCAACTCCCAGAATTCCTCAGCCAGGCACGCTGGTCACAAAAGGGCCAAGTTTGAAGACCCCTGTCCTATAAAATGACACAAAATTGTATGGTAATTAAGTCTAACCTACTGTTTAGTAATAGAAACTGTCTAACTTCTGCTTAAGCAATCCCAGTGAAAGGGAGGCCATTATTTCCTTTGCAGAGAAAAGGGGATCAGTTGTTTTACAAAATAATGGGAATTAATTTGCTGGCTTCAAAGATACCTGTCATAAACATATGTCACCTGCTGCAAAACCACACTAATGGAGAGAAGGAGATGTCTGAGAGAAGAAAGAAATGTATTTGTATAAGAGAAGTATTGAAAGTAACACTATTAGGTTTGACCAAGTGTGCAGTCAGAAAAACTTAATTAGGATTTTTGTGCTGTCAGATTTGCAAAATTCATTTTAGAATAGTTAAGGATTGCAAGCCTGATTTCCTGTGCTCTGTTTATTTGTGGTTAGCCTGCAACCATTGAGACTAAATATCATTTATTTGGTTTAGGCTTAGCAGATCAGATTAAACTGAGCCATTTTGGTTCATAAATCTTGGGGTATTGTGGGAACCCAGTGAAATATAGATTTGTGCTTCAACAATCCATAACTTGGCATGACAAATGAACCAATCCTTCCAATAAATTCCAAATGGCATCATCTCTCTTCCTGATGTGGAAAAAGATTAAAGGGCAATTTCTATTCCAAATGAACTCGTGCCTCAGCTGATCATCCCTTTGTCGCTAATCTTTTTAGGAAGAAGGGATCACCCATAACATGTTCTTCTACACAAGCTTAAGTGAAATGGATGTATGTGGCTAAAGCTCTACATAGAGTGTATGCTTCAAATGGAGCTTGTCCAGAAGAACTTGGGTCAGGGCTGTCTCCTTCTTATGTTTGTGTTTGTGACTCTAGATCCACCCAGTAGTTCTCACTCTCTGTGGTTGTCACTGTTGCAAGTGCCTGGGGAGCAGGTCACTTATAAATTAAATGTTGAGATCTATTTTAAATGTTCCTTTTATTAGAAGGCTAGAGCTAATTTAACTTGTATTCCTTATTGTAATGCTTTTTATATTGAAAGGGATTTTTGTAACATAAAAATAGGATGCTATTCTGAAGCATTTGCACAGTTTCTGTGTGCATTTCTTAAAAAATGAAAGACAAAAATAAAGACACTGTGACAACAAAGCTTTACTTTCCACAATTCATGGGTTCTGTGTTTTTCTTTTTGAAATAGACATGTAATAGCCTTTTCCTAAGGAAAAAAATAGTTACAGTCCAAATAGTAGAACTTGTTATTTTGAGTTGAAAATAGAGAACAATTAAACAGTGTCCTGTTCAGAATTATGAAATCCAATATAATCAAGTTTTTGGAGTTAACCTTGGGTTTTGCACTTACTCTTCAGAGATCACACAAAATGTTGTTTGACTTTTTTCACGTTCACCATTAAAGCCTGCAGGAAGCCAACATATACAAGGTACATTGAAGACATTTTTGAATACACAATTGTTTTTAGGTTGTCAAGGTCATTTGAATAATGTTGGCACAAGATGGAGTTTATCTTAAAGGCTCAAAGGTACATGTTCTCCAATCACAATTGACCTTTTTATATATTTATGCTTAAAGTGAGGATATTAAATATTGATCTCTTGGGATTACATATGAATGCATCAATAAACAAAGGTTATTTGCCCAAACCTTTTGGGAAAAAATGGCTGCAAAATACAATAGTTTACTTAAGCATATAAACCAATAAGCATATGAATATAGCCATACCCAGCACAATATTCTATTTCAGGGCAACTAACAGTATGTAAAGTACAGAAAAGGAAGAAGAAATAGTAAACCAAAGAAGTGAAAAGACAACATGAACAAGAAAAGGAATATAGCCAAATGTACACCAACACTATTCAATATTCCTCTCTGTACATTTTTTGCTTTGCAAACCATCTTTTATTTACTATATTTATACACTATACCACTTCATATTTTGTCTTTTGCTCCTCAAACTTACCATCTCTTTATTTTTCAGGAAGTCATCACTTTTCTCAAACAATGTCTTTCTTTGTCTTCCCCTTCTTTATCCAACCTGTTTGGGATCTTGGCCATCTGTGTGCAAAAGTCTATGCACATTTATCTCCTAAATTAACACAGTTCTAATATTGCCATATACCGTATATGCCGGCGTATAAGGCGACTTCCGCGAGCGCTAAAATTGGCGCCAAAGACGGGGGTCGTCTTATACGCCGAGTCATCTTATATGCTGGAAATACTGGTAGTTTCCGGCGTATAAGATGACGTTCTAGGAATGCGGCTTGGCGATAAAGACGGGGGTCATCTTATACGCCGGGTCACTTTGTACGCCGGCATATACGGTACATCCCTTGTACATTTTTATGCATAATACATTAAAAAAAGGAACAGCACAGACCTAGAACTTACTATTTGATTAATGTTGAACCCTTCACTGGTATCTCATTTAATTTTTATACTTGCTTTTCTCACATCATAGAGTGGTCCTCCCACTTTCAGGAAGCAAGCTTTCACTCTGTACTTATTCCATAATTAAGACTCTTGCCTGTATCAGGGAATTTGGGATATTGGGAATGCTTTCTATAAATCAACAACCATGCAATAAATTCTTTTTTGCACATTGATACTTTCCCCAGTGAATAATAAAACTCAGGTCTGTTTATTCCCTGCATAGTATGAAGTTATATTACGCTTCTCAAATTTTATTCAACAACGCTTCTTCTTTCAGTCAGAATTCTGCCTCTTTTCTTGGCATATTTAATAAACTGATGCTCCTGGAGGGCTTTTTGCATTCCCCTTTGTTATCTCTCCCTTAGTATAGGAGAAAAATAAACAAAATTCTTGCAATTGCCAAGAATAGATACAGACTCTGCCCAAGGCACAGGGCACAGCCTTGCACAGCTGTGCTCCTCAAAAAATTACTTCCATGTTTTAATAATTTTCTAGTTGCAGATAGGGAGAGAGATTTTTTCTGCTTTAGACTAGATACACCTTAGAATAGAACAGAATCTTTTTTTCAACATTCTCTTGTTTAGAACTTTCTTTTCATCGATATTTTTTTCGACATTAATATTTATAGCTCTTCATTGTGGATATATCTACACTGACTGCATTAAGCTAATTTTATATATTTTAAGCATGATACCCCATTTTGGGGTTGATTGACTAAAGCCATAGTAAGATGTTCATTTAAACAGCATGTTTTTCAATCCCACTCTTGACTACATCATGGCATATTCCCTTGCAAATCCCTGAAATCTTTTTTTCAGTATTCCCTCATTCCTATTCCAAAACCCTATTGTGGTAAGGTCACAAGTACCTGTGAAATTGAACAGGTGAAATGGAATTTCTCCTCTGTGTAATTAGTAATTTTTCCTTTCTTTCTTAAAAATACTACAAGAGTACCAACTTTTAGAGGAGTTCTGGGGGATCAATGAATCCATGTAATGCTTTTAGGAACTGCTGAAGTAGTTTAATATCCAGCCTGTATTAAGTAGCTCCTGAAAGCATTGTGCTTTAACAGAATTGGAGAGGACCTTGGAGGTCTTCTAGTCCAACCCCTGCTCAAGCAGTAAACCCTACACCATTTCAGACAAATGGTTGTCCAATCTCTTCTTAAAAACCTCCAGTGTTGGAGCACCCACGTCTAGTGTTTCTCAACTTTGGGAACTTTTAAGAAGTGTAGACTTCACCTCCCAGAATTCTCCAGCCAGCATGGATTCAGATACTACATTTCTCAACCGTGGTAACTTTTAAGGTATGTCGACTTCAACTCCCCAGCAATCTGGCTGGGAAATTCTGGGAGTTGAAGTCACACATTCTATAGTTGCTAAGTTTGAGAAACACTGCTACATCAGCTGAAGAGCCAGGAGAGGGATTCACATGATATGCTAAGCTAAGGGTATAGAATGTCGTATGAAGCCAACCTACTTGGGGGAACAATCAATATGAGACAACCCTCCTCCCCAAAACCCAGTTAATCTGGGCTGTTTTAATAATAATAATAATATAATAATAGTAAAGTTGGAAGGGACCTTGGAGGTCATCTAGTCCAACCCCCTGCTCAGGCAGGAAACCTTACACCATTTCAGACAAATGGCTGTCCAGTCTCTTCTTAAAAACTTCCAGTGTTGGAGCATTTACTGCTTCTGGAGGCAGGTTGTTCCATTGATTAATTGTTCTCACTGTCAGGAAGTTTCTCCTAGTTTTTTGTGTGAAGGATGCCTACTATCACCCTTCCAAGTAATTATCTTTCACAACCTTGATACCTCCGATTCCCAAAAAATGAAGCGCCTTTTATTCATCTTCCTGATGTCTCATAGGTCCAAAAGTGCTGTGGCATATGGCATTGCATTGTGGTTTCATCTGACTGAAATCATATCTGAACAATGTTCATTTTTTTTTTAAATAGCACAAAAATTGTAACAGCAAACAGTAACAGTAAAAATTTGTAAGATGACAGTGTTGAAACTGAGGAGCTTGCCACCTGATGGGACTTGAGGGAATGCATTTCTATTGCTGACCCTATTCTTTGGAATGGCCTCCTGGTTGCACCTCAAAGTGCTTCATACATCTCGTTCTTTAGGACAGGGGTCTCCAACCTTGGCAACTTTAAAACTTGTGGACTTCAACTCCCAGAATTGCTCAGCCAGCTTTGCTGGCTGAGGAATTCTGGGAGTTGAAGTCCACAAGTCTTAAAATTACCAAGTTTGAGGACCCCTGCTTTAGGAGATTTGCAAAAAAATCTTCCTCTTCCAATTGGGGCATAAGAGAAGGCAGTTTTATATTATGCAGGTGGTGCATATTTTTTGACAGATTTTGTTTTTGCTTGTAGGGTTCTTTTTCCATTATTCATGTTTAGCTGCCTATAACCTCTGGGAATGGCTGTCCTTCAAGTAAAATAAATGAACAACCAACCAAAACTGCTGAAAAATATCACAAGATGAAAGGAACGATGGAAGAAAGCTTGGCAGCTAATTATCTATCCTTTAACCACAAATCCTAAGTGTACACCTAATCCTATCAGTGTCTTACTGTTACAGAAACATCTTTACTACATGTCCTTTTGCTTCCGATCTGCTTCTATATATGGAAAAACTGTAAAATGCATTCTTTGGGGGGGGGGTGGACAAAACGTCTCAAAAATCTTGCTAGAAGTTGCTCATCCTTCACAACCATTTCAAGCTGTCAAAGACTATGGCTAAAAATACTATTGTCAGATTTTCTCATATTAAAGAAAGACCAAAGACAAATTAGTTCAGCAACAAATGGACTTATAACTGAACATTATGGTCAAATAACTTTCAACATCTACAAAGTTTTCACCACTCCTCTACAAAATATTTTTTGGGAAAGATTTGACTACTACTCTGGTGTCATGCTCCACATCTTTAAAAAAATCTCCAAATACTCCAGATGGTCTTTCTGTTTTAAAGACTGCAGATGGTATTAGAATAAATGAGCTGCCTGTAAGAGATTTTTCAATTGTTAATAATTTATTTTACCAATTACAGATTTGTTGGCATTAGCAGGCATATGGAATTTTGTAAATAAAAAAATGAGGTTGCTGGTCTATTGCCTAGTGATTACTTATGCAAAAATAATTGAAAGGCGAATAAAGTCTGGGTGCTTGAGATTATTTATTAGTTTCCATTTAATAAGTGTATTTGTTTTTCACACACTTGGGAAACCCATGACTACTTTTATTCAGTAATCTATGTTGAATTGCTGCTTTCCTGCAGTATGTGTTGGTGGTCCACATTTTTCTAGTTCAGTGGAACAGTTTGTAGCTTCTAACATTTTCATAGAATCCCTGGTCATATTTGGTTTCAGAATAGCAGGCAAGTCTTTCATCTTTAAGAAAATAATTCAGTGTATGATGAAGCCCCTGATGCTGTGACCCAAGATGAAAACTTAGCCTTACTATACATCAGACTAATCTATCTAGCCAGGGCTTTTTTTCTCATAGAACGCCCAGAATGGAGTTCCGGCATCTTTTTTGGATGGAACCTTTGTACAGTAGGCAAGGTGGATTGTATGATGTGTGTGAGTTCCGGCACCTTTTTTTAAAGAAAAAAAGTACTGTATCTAGCACAGGGTTCCCAACCCCCAAGCTGCAGCCCATTACCGGGCCATGGCCTATTCAGAACCAGATTATGCAAAAGCAGGGGGGACTGCAGACACTCAGCTACACTGAGAAACTATATGTGTTGTAAATCACCCAAAATCACCTGAAAGCGAGACAGGTGGCATATAAATTTAATAAATAGTAATATACATGAAAAGGATACTCTACCAATATACTACAGTTGTTCAATTACATTGTACCCAATGTGTTTGAATTTATATGCATCCCTCTTGGTTTCACAAATATAGGCGAAAAGACTAGAAAATCTATGATAATAAAACACGGATACTTATATGGCAGGGTTTTTTTTACTATGTATTACTAGTTTCAAAAGCTCAAGGTGAGCCTTGGTAAAGGAACAATTATGAATTTTAATAATTTATAATTTAATAATGAGTCATATTTACTATAGAAATATAACAGGGCAACATCTTGATTCACAAGTGCATATAATTCCTTTCCTTGAACCAAAGTTCAGCTTAAAGATTTGGAGACTGGATTAAAGCATAGTTAAAAAGTGTTCCTTCCTTTAATTCAGTTTTCTACCTTGGAACAAAAATCTCAATACCAGATGGTAACTGCTTGGAATCATACTTATTTCATTAAGTGCACAAATCATCTTTTCTACAGACCAAGAATTTTAACAACTGAAAGTAGCACTAACAAATTCATTCCTATACAGGAATTTAATCTCTTTAGGCATTATCTCTTAATTCTAAGTTCACCACTTGAATCACCACATTTATCATAAAGTCAAATAATTTAAGAATTTCTATTTGATTCATGTTTTTGTATGGTCTTCAGCTACAGCATACATGGTAGTCCAAATTCATGCACATACAAAGTTAAGTTGATCAAGGCAGCAGAGTTGGAAATAGTTGAGCAGGAAAAAAAAAAGACCACAGTAGGCAAAATCAGCACATATTATTGGCCATTCACAAGTAAGTCTTTAGATTTTCCAAATACCATTACTTGTTGAAAATGAAAAGATGCTACTTCAGTCTTCAGTGTTATCCAGTTTTATGGATACATTCAGGTCTTTCCATAATATAAACCATATTCCCTTTTTCTAGAGTCTCTGTATTCAGTCCAAAAGATTTGGTCCATCTTAATAGATACTGTATATGCTAATAAATTTTTTTGCAATCCGTTTCAAGAAGACAATTACTTGGTGTAAATTCAATATAAGGCAAAACCACTCTAAGGAAAATTAAGAAAAGTGGGGGGAAATATGATACTCACTGTTGAACAGATTAAAAAGTAAAAGGTAAACTGCTAGATTTCATCCTGAAATGATGGATAATGTTCTGGTTTATATGGAAATAGCAACCAATTCCTGATTTTATTTAAAATTATCTGCAGATTTTCCCAATATTTTGATGGGAACAACAAGGCAGGAAAAAAGCAAATTTACTTTATTTCTCAACTGAACACAATGAATTGCAGGTTGAGTAGACCCATGATTATATCTGGAGCAATATTTCTCTTACTTTAGTCTATAGTTGCCCTTTTTCATATCATTAAGAACTTTGGTTCTGAGTTTGAAGAAATCAGCTTATATTTATCTCTTTTGGCTAAATAACAGAATGGATAAAAGGACACGCTAAGACTGCCATTTGTAATTGGCAAACATTACATAAACAATATAGAGAACCTGGATTGGGCCATCCCTACCCCCAAACAAATTAATTTATTCTAGGTTAGCAGTCTCTTGCAACTACAACAGAGGACAATCCATATCTAAACCTCTTTGGGAATCTTACAGAATCACAGTTCCCAGTAAACTGATTTAGTTCATGTAATAAACTGCCAAACCTGAGAAATAACCAAATCAGTTGTAATTTCCCCCTTGGTGCTCCTAGACATACATGTGCACATAAATAGCAATTTAACTGATCTTTCCATTTCAAGAAGGATGAAAAGACCACCAAAATCAGACATTTTCACATTCACAAATCATTCTATCATACACAATACAAACTAACCTAGACGTGTTCAGTATTTACTATGCCATTTTAGGTACTTGTTTATAACCAAGCTCTTATGCATTCTTCATTTGCACTAACACTTGACAATAATTTGTAAAAACTGATAAATATTCCCCTGTGTTTTTATTTTTGTCTTGAAAGAAGCCTGTGAAATCATGATTTCAGTTTCCTCTTCTAATGTTCCTCATCCTAAAATTATCTGAGAGTATTTTAGTTAACAATTAGTACTTTAAAAACCAAACAACTTACCACTAACTAGAACAGTACTAAGTGGCCAACAGCAGAGAAGACAAGGAGAAATGATGACAAAAAAGGCATATTTAAAAGCAGTAGCAGATAGAGGTTTCCTTCAAAAGAACTTGAATCTTTTTTTTAAATTAATATAGTTTATGTCAAGGTTTCAGATGTATGGTCATGATATCATCTTCTAAGAGGTACATTAAAAGATGTCAATATTCAACTTTCTAAGCATTCTTTATAATGTGCCCTGGGATTCCCCCATAAGGCAAGACATTGTTTCAGCCCTGGCTGTAAAATTTAAGTAGACAGACTTGACAAGAGATCCAATCACGTGACAAATGAAAAGGAAGAATATACTTAAGACCTCCACTGCAATTTCCATGTAATTGTTGGGTCTGTGTGTGTAAATCTTGGAAAGGTGCTCGAAATTCCTTTCCAAGTCTAAGATACTTGGACTTCAACTCCCATCATTCCCATCCTGCACTGGCTGTTGTGACAGATGTTCAGACTAATGGGTCTGGAGGATAGCAGAATGGGAAATCCTGGACCATCATCTAGGTTTACAGTGTAAATTGGCTAACAATTGGGAATCATCCTCCCTCATATTATGAGCCAGCCTCATTATCTCTGTCCTTTCCAAAGAGAGATTAGGCCGGAAGGACCTCAGTTTTGATCTTTCTTTTTTCTTAGTCTGCAGGGAGACGGGAGAGCAGCACTGGACTAACATATTGATGCATGCTAAATGACTCCTGCTTTTAAAGACAATGCACTAATGTGATCAAAAAGGAATGTGGAAAAGAAAACAGAAAAAAAAAAAAATAGAAAAGCCCTCCAGTCTTTCCAAACCAACCAAGTTCTCCCACCCACCCCAAAGTTCTGCCATTAGACTTTCTTGGATCTGCGTCCAACTTGATAGTAGTAATAAATGCTGATAAGTACAAAGAGGGCTCGGCTGATGAGAAGAAATGTGGCTCCCGTAGACACTTGGCCACTCTCAACCAAGGTGATTGAAGTCACTGAAAGAGAAAGCAGACAGCTGAAGGCTAAAATAAGACACCCTCGCACACCTACACCAAGCAAACTAACATATTAGCTGCCTTCTAGCAATAGCAATAGCACTTAGACTTATATACCACTTCATAGTGCTTTACAGCCCTCTCTGAGAGGTTTACAAACTCAGCATATGACCCACAACAATCTGGGTCCTCATTTTACCAACCTCGGAAGGATGGAAGGCCAAGTCAGCCTTGAGCCAGTCAGGATCAAAAACTCCTGGAATGAGCAGTGAAGTTAGCCTGAAGTACTACATTCTAACCACCACAGCTTCTAGAGCTCACCTTGAGATCATTGACTAGCTCAGGGGTAGGCAACCTTGGCTCTTTTATGATTCGTGGACTTCAACTCCCAGAATTCCTGAGCCAGCTGGCTCAGGAATTCTGGGAGTGGAAGTCCATGAGCCATAAAAGAGCCAAGGTTGCCTATCCCTGGACTAGCTTATTGCATTCTTAGTTATCAGGATGGCCATGTTACACTTGATTTTTAACAAAAACCATCCAAGGTTAAATAGACCTCTTTGACAATGATGAATAGGAAGTTGTAGCTAAAAGATGAAGAAGGTTGGCCTGCACATGGTTGTTTCTCTGAAGACGGATCCCTATAACTACTGTGTTTCCCTGAAAATAAGACTGGGTCTTATACTAATTTTGCTCCAAAAGATGCATTAGGGCTTATTTTCCAGTTAGGGCTTATATTGGGGAAAATACGGTACTAAATGCATCTGTCTGGCTGATTATCTTAACTGGGGCTTATTTTGGGGCGGGGCTAATATTACGATTAATATTAAAATCCTGCTAGAGCTTATTTTCCGGTTAGGTCTTATTTTCAGGGAAACACGGTATGTTATATAAACTTTGCTTCAGATTGGGCAATGGGTAGGGAGCCCGAGGTTTTAAAGCCAAGATGAATGCGCAAAGAAATAGGATGCACAGATACAGATTTCACTGACAGCTTAGCAGTAATTATAATGAATAACCAGAACAAGTGAAGCTGATTTCACTGAATAAATTTCCCTGTAAATCTGAGCATCCAAACCAAAGCAGATCACATATTTTGCTTGAGATTCCAGCAGGCACAGAAGCTTTTAAAATTTCACTGTTGTTATTTTTTTTAACAGCTTTTTTGTCATCATGGAAAGGTTACTTTTTCCACTGACTTGTGATGAGAAAGCACCTTCCAAACGACACAGAAAGTGCAAGGCAGACAGGATTTCTGCCATTAGAAATTTCATCCTGGGACAATTGGTTGCCAAAGGAGAAAAGTCACATTTATCAGTTGGTGAAGGAATACAGAATGACAGAGTTGGAAGGGAGCAACTTCCTGCCAGCCCTGGAAGAAAAAAATATTTGAAAAATAGAGGAAAGGCTCAGTTTTTTTTAAATGAAATTAATCAAGCTTGCGAACTGCTTTGTTTTCAGAGCTTAGAAGCTTTGGCGAATTGTGTTGCATTATTTTCTTTTTGGCACTTCTTTTTGAGCAAATATGAGTTTCAATATCACTGTTGGTTCAATTCCATGCTCTGCTCTCTCAAAATAGTTAGAAAATATCTAGATCATAATGGGACTGCTTCTTTTCACACACACACACACACACACACACACACACACACACAGGGAGGGAGGGAGGGAGAGGGAGGGAGAGGGAGAAGGAGAGAGGGAGAGGGAGAGGGAGAGGGAGGGAGGGAGAGGGAGAGGGAGGGAGGGAGGGAGGGGGAAGGGAGGGAGAGGGAGAAGGAGAGAGTGAGAGTGAGAGGGAGGGAGGGAGGGGAAAAGGTAGAGAGAGGGGGAGGGAGAGGGAGGGAGGGAGGGAGAGGGAGGGAGGGAGAGGGAGAGAGGGAGAGGGAGGGAGGGAGGGAGGGAGGGAGAGGGAGGGAGGGAGGGAGGGGAAAAGGTAGAGAGAGAGGGAGAGGGAGGGAGGGAGAGGAAGAGAGAGAGGGAGGGAGGGAGGGAGAGGGAGGGAGGCAGGCAGAGAGAAATTTCCTTCATTCCTGTTTCCAAAAAAGCCTCAACTTACCCAGGAACTGTACCCCGAAGTAGCAAGCTTCGGTCAGTAGGGTCCAACGGATTATGACCTTCTCAGATGTATAGAGGGCGTTCCACATGATGAGTGAGATACCTATTGCAGATTGGATGGGAAAAAAAGAGAAGTATCAGATCAGCTGATTCAGGACAGGTTAAGGAGATGAACAGACAAATGCTGCCATTCATGATGCCTATTAACCAAAGTTTTATGAAAGGACAAAATTCCAAATAGTGAGATATTGCAGATTCACAGGTACCATGATTTAAGCACTCTGACCTTTCATTTTGCAAATTTTGGAGTTTGCCACAGCCAAAACTGAAGTTTTCAATGTTAACTTGAGTGGAAGTCCACGAGTCATAAAAGAGCCTAATCTACAGCACTGTCTTAACAAATTATTTATCCCTTCCTTCAATTTCTACTCTTCCCCCCCTTTTAATGCGCTGACCAAGTAATTTTAATCCATAGTTTAAAAGGGACGTGCTTTATTTAAAAATGGACTTGTAACATAATATTCTAAGCATTTATGACGTATCAGAATATTTTAATTATATACTATTTTAGAACTGTTGGCTATCTGCCAACAGTTTCATTTTGTACATTTTGTTCTTTGTATTTCCTATTTGTATATTCTTTTCCATTTTTATTTGTTTTATCCATTTACTTTCTTTATATGTGTGTATGAATGAACCTTACTATTTGTGCTGTGATTTTGTTTTTGTTTTAATTCAGTTCTGAAAATATTTTTCTAAGAAGCAAGTTTTAGGATCAATAAAACTAAAAAGTTCACTGTGCTTATGTAATTTTATATATACTTTTACAATATCTTTCCCCTCTCCAAAATCTACCAAAATTTCAACTCCTCCTTCTCCCCCTGCCCTGCATTGCTGATAGATGTTTATCTCCTAGTTAGCACACTCTTCTTTGGACACATTATGTGAAGATCTAGGTCTCTGGAGAAAGCTCTCTCTTTCTCTCTCTCTCATCATTTTACTAGGATTTACAAATACAAAAGTTTTATTTATTTAGTGTATGGCATCTACAGAGGTCATGCAATCAGTGATATACAAAATTAGTTTAAATAAACCGTCAGTATCTATCTATCTATCTATCTATCTATCTATCTATCTATCTATCTATCTATCTATCTATCTATGTATTTATCATCATCATCTATCATCTATCTATCCCTATCCCTCTCTCTCTCTGTATAAAATCATCATCATTTTAGCCATTGTCTGCAGGATGTAGGCCTCTTCTGCATGTTTCCAACCAATACAGTCCTGAGCTTTCTTTTGCCAACTGGGCCCACAATACTTGCTTATATTATCAATCCATCTTGTTTTAGGTCTCTTTCATGGATGCTTTTTATCAAGCGGGATCCATTCTAGGACTGTCTTGGTCCACCTTGGTCAGTTCTTCTTGTTATGTGACCAGCCTGTTTCCATTTCCATTTGTTTACTCTTTTGATGGCATCATATATTTTCATTTGTTCTCTAATCCATGTGCAGGTCTTTCTATCTTCTCTTGTAATGCCGAGCATGTATCTTTCCATGGCTCTTCCTGCCGCAAACTTTGAATTCCTTGCTTACTTTTATTGATTTTCTTGATCTTTAATCCTGAGAAATGATGTCTTACAAGCTGATTTTTTTTATAATTTTCTTTTCATCTATTCTTAGAAAGTTTCCTTGGGTTCACATATTCCAAAGTCATGTTCCAAGTCACTCATCTGTTTTTTAATTCATATGGCCCCTTTAATTATGAAGACATCAACCGGTCTTAATTGTAAATCCATTGTGACCGTTGTTCCATATGACTTATATTCTGGAAGTTTCAAATGCTTTTTGAGATCCACAGCATCTTTATCCATATCACTTTTGAAATCAAGCATTGTCTTGAAACTCCAAATCCAAATTCAAATCAATCCCAATCTCTGTTTTATCCAATAAAATCTGTGGTTCTCCTGAATAAATTGTTCCCAAATAGTTTTAATTTCTTCTTTATAGGTAGTCCTCGCTTAATGATCATAGGAAATATTCTTTCAAGTCCATCCAGCCCCTTAACTAAAGTCAACTTTCTAGTCTCCCTTTTGCCATTTTCCAAAAATTAATGTTTTTCTTTTTAACCCTTTAACTCTTACACTTACATTTAATTTCTTCCATCCAGGGTGAGACAAGATTCTCCTAGAAACTTGCCCTTCAGAAGATTCTTAATATATAGAAACTCAAGAATAAGAATAAGGTCACGATAGGTTGGACATGACTTCGCAACTAACAAGAAGAAGAAGAAGAAGAAGAAGAAGGAGGAGGAGGAGGAGGAGGAGGAGGAGGAGGAGGAGGAGGAGGAGGAGGAGGAGGAGGAGGAGGAGGAGGAGGAGGAGGAGGAGGAGGGAACTTTGTAAAATAGTTAAGGGAGGAGGTAGGCAAACCTAGTGTCCAATTTGAAGATGCAAAATCATTGCTTAGGTAAGATAATTCACCTGCCTCAAAAGCCCCAAGAACTCTCAAACCCTGCTGGAGACAGCTATTTCACAATCTCTTTCCAGAAGAATTTCTGTTTGGAACAAACTTGTGGGTGATCCTTATCCTCTCCTTAATCCGGAGAATAGTTGTCAGGAGCCAAACCCTTGAATTCTATTGTGGTCCTCTCCTGTTACTATCTCCGGAAGCCTCTCTTGAGAAGGCTCTGAGGCTGGGAAAGATGGAAGGAAAAACAAGTCCAGATGGACTTGAAGGATGAGGCTGGGGAACGGACTGGCATGGAGAAAATCTCTCTTTATATAGTTGCTATGAATCAACACTGACCTGAATCAACATAATCTATCACATTCCTCACTAGGTGTGTGTGTCTGACATAGCAAAAATCTTTATGCTTGTCTTTGGATTGTCCGTGTACTTCAGCAATCAATGGAAAGAGAAATATAAGCAATAAAATCCCCGCAGAAGTTCTAGAAATGACAGTTCACATATCACTAATTTATTCCAGCAATTACAGCCTGTTCACAAGAATAAAGAATTCAAGAATAAAGCGCTAAAGCAAAGCTAATTGTCTATGGAGATTCTCAGTCATCCAGGTCATAGTTATCCCAAACACACCACATTGCTCTCAGTTTAATGGGGAAACATTAGCTTTGCTTTATCCCAAAGATGCTTTTTTATGAGGCAACTGGACTTTCTTGTTTTCTTTGAAGACATTTCGCCTCTCATCAAAGAAGCTTTTTCAGTTCATAGCTGAAGAAGCTTCCTGGATGAGAAGCGAAATGTCTTCAAAGAAAAACAAGAAAGGCCAGTTGCCTCATGAAAAAGAATCTTTGGGATACAGCAAAGCTAATGTTTTTCCATTAAACTGGGAGTAATGTGGTGTGTTGTCCCATAATCTAAGCCTGTCCCTTTTGAAGTGGGAGAAAGAGAACGCACAAAAATGGCTAAAAATGAGAGTGCCGGCATGGCCAAGTTTCTCTGTATTTTTATTTGCAGCCAGCAGATGCTGCTGCAAACTTAGAAAAAGAATAAGGCAGGAAAAGTTTTCCTTTGCACAAAAAATTGCCTGTGACAACCAGTCTCAAATCTATTTTGACTTCCTGCAACTATGCAAACATAGTGTATGACTTCTAATAGCTGTGCTCATACAGTCCCAATCTTATTTATAATTTCTCCCAGAAAGGCAGTGGGAATGGAAACACAAAATAGCACTGGGTTGTGAATTCTAAAAATGACTCTAAGCCCCAAAGCAGATCATTTTAGTCATCAAGCCAGCAGCTGTGGTTCAGCTTGGATAAATGCTTTCACATAAAAAAAAAATCACAGAAACAAGCCAAACAAGCTAGAGCTCATTCTTCTCCCTAACTAGATTAGTTTAATTTTATTCTACTTTATAGCACATGTCTGTAGGGTAGAGTTTGGGTCTCTTTATTTGTTCAATTTATGTTCCATTTTCTCTGGAATTGCTCACAGTTCTGCACACACTGTATATCTCCTCTAATTATATCACCAGAATGACAAGTCGGTAAGAAAGCTTGTGCAGAGATGGAGGGCCTATCCCAAAGACACCATTGGATTCCCCCCACAAATTTTAAATTTCTATTTAAACCATCTGTTTTCTTTCACATGTACATAGTTTTAATACTGACTGAGTACAGAGTGGATGGGTGGGAGAAATCAACTGAGTGATTCCTAGGTGGGTGGAAGGGATGTCTTTTAAAGAAGTACATTAAAATGTGTATGTCTATGTGTACATTGCACAAGCCTATAGGTTCATTCCTGGAGGAATTTTTTTTTTAAACAGGGAAGGAAAGAAATGACTGGATTTTAATCAGTGCTTGTGGCTACGCCAAGAATAAAGTCTTGTCCCACAGAATTTCCAAATGAACCACTTTTACACCATTTTATAAAATTACAGTTTTGAAATGACCATTACTGCTATCACAGATGCATTGCTTGTGCTCCAGAATTATATAGTCCAGGAACAATTTCATTTACCATTGATAATAAAGCATCAGAATAACTTTGAAACTGATTAGGAGGTGGTAAAATCATGATGACTAATCTCTGTGCTATGGTAAACTGACATTTAATTATTCTAATATCCTATATGTCTAGCAAATCCCAATTTGCATTTCAACAACTCAAGCTTATGACACTCGTGAACAAGGTCTTGTTCCGTGGCTTTGTCTCAGTTTGACGAGCGTACACACAGATACACAAACACAAAATTGTAACACTGGAATCATATCCGACATGGGTGACCATCACAGCTAGCAATTTGAACCCATCAATAGAGACGTAATTCCACTGAAATTGATTCATACATCAAATGTGGCATGTTTGTAAGTATATAATGAAGCCCGGGAATCAAAAATGTTTTTCCATAATTCAAACACCATTATTTTCTGTGTGTCTGAGAAATGGCATTACGGGATCAAATAATACTGCTTCCAAGGTTTGTGTAGAAAGAAAAAAATATATGGCTGATTTCACTTGTCAAGTGATCTAGGCCAGGGTTCTTCAAACTTGGCCCTTTTACGACTTGTGGACTTCAACTCCCAGAATTCCTCAGCCAGCGTGCCTGGCTGAGGAATTCTAGGCATTGAAGTCCACAAGTCATAAAAGGGCCAAGTTTGAAAACCCCTGATCTAGGCTATCATACCTAGTTTCCCAGATATATTTTTGCCTTGGCATTAAAGGTAACTTAAAATGAAATAATTTAAAAACTCTTGAAGCATCTTGAATAATGAAGTTTATTTGATATATTACAGTCCCAAAACAGTGTGTTTCCATCTGAACTAACAAACTTTGTCTCTTGATGAGCAAATTATAACAGTGCAATTTCAGTATCATTATTTGAGATGATGGTGATGATGAAGATTTATTCTGCCCCTAGGGACTCAAGACAATTAACAACATTACAGGTCCCGATTCTTATTTACCAATACCATCTTTCCTGAGCCTGTTAAATGACTTCAAAGCCCAACTTGATTGCACAGTATGTGTTCCTTTCTCTGGGCAAAATTCCATGGAAAAAAACTTCATGAAGATCAACAGTAAACATTCCATTAATTTACCTCTTGTCCAATGGCAAGTGATTACAAAAGTTATAATCCAAAATCACCTGGGACCTAGGTTCAATTCAGACAATTTCTATGCAAAGACCTGCATACTTCATTCCCCTTTCATCCCAGGAAATAACCTCCCACTCTTCCAGGCAGTCCTCGACTTAGAACCATAATGACCCTGTTTGTTGCCATCATGTCACTGACCCAATTTTACAACCTTTTTGGCAACAGTTGTTAAGCGAACACCACAGTCATTAAGAGAATCAGTGGTTTGCCTGGACACAGTTTTGCCCCCAAATGGAAGTAAACGTTGGTTTTCAGCAAAACCATTGTGCAATGCGGCTGTGTGACTGCTTTGAAACTTCAAAAAGTTGCCAAGCAACCAGTTGCAAGTTGAAGACTACCTGTATAGGATTCACTCAGCTATTCCCAACAGATTAGACCACATCAACATCTGGATGCTCACGGACTACTTACTAAGTAAAGCTCCTCCATAGAGACGGATAGGCATTTTACTGTTGACTACCTCTTCCTTGAAGACAGCATCATAGATTTGATCTGGAAAGGTGAGAGCCTGGAAGAGAAAAATAAATGTCAATTAAAAAAAAATCTCCTCTAACTGAACTATTTAGTGTCCAAAGAAAAGGATTTTCACTGAAAATAGAAATCAGATATAACTAAATCTGTTTCAGACACATGTCAATGCTCACAAAGAGAAGTGCACTTGGACCACTGTTGCAAGTGAGCAGCTGTTGCAGATAGCAGTGGGAAAAGAGAGAGAGAAGCTTTTAGAAAAGCTACTAAAACATGGAATTTTGTCCTTATATATGATAACTGCTGTGAGATTACTTATACTCAAAAATGGAAAAGTTTGAGGAACAGTTGGTGAAGATGATAAAAGCTTGCAAAGATGGCTAAATTGACTCCCTTGATTAGAGAAAGAACAATTATCTATTTTTATGCTGTAAACCCCCTATTGCATGAAACAAAAAAAAATGCATTAGGAAATGTGGGTTAGGAAGAAAAATTGGATAATAGAAAAAGTAGGTTTTTGTTGTAATTATAGATATAATCTTTTAATCATACTTATCTTTGCTGCATATCTTTTTTTGTTTTCTTTACTCCTTGTGTTAGTTTTATTAAAACTTTTAATAACATTTATATTAAAAAAAAAAGAAAAGAGAGAGAGAAAATCCAATCTTTATTTCAAAGAAACATAGAGCTGGAAAGGGTCTATTTAGACAATCTTGCTCAGTATACTAATCTCAGTTAAAGCATCCCAAATTACTGTCTTGCCTCCATTAGAATAACTCCAGTGAAGAAAAGCCTACAACTTCTCTGGTTTTATTGGTTCCACAGTCAAACTGCTGATCATACTATCAAGGCCTGTTTTCCTATAAGCTAAATCCATAATTTCATAGCCTGCACTTTGGAATACGAGATACCAGGTCTTGATTATCTTCTACGACATGTGATTGTGACATCATTTAATCCTTGATTTATGACCACAATTAGGATCAGAATTTCTGTTGCTAGGCAAGGTGGTTGTTAATTTTACAAGTTTTTTCCCCTACGGTTCTTAAAGAAATCAACTGCAGTTGTTCAACGAATCATGTGGTCGTTACGCAAATCTGGCTTCCCCATCAAATTTGCTTGTCAGAAGCCAGCTGGGAAGGTTGCAAAGGGTGATCATATGACCCTGGGATACTGCAACCGGGATAAATAGATGCCGATTACCAGGTGCCTAAATTTTGATCATGTGGCCATTGGGAATCTGCAATGGTTGTGATAGGATTGGTTGTAAGGCACAGTGTTTTTGTAATTTTGAACAGTCACTAAATGAGTGGTTGTAAATTGAGGACTACCTGTATTTGAAGAGTGCTCTTGGACTACTTCTTCCTCCTAAGTCTTCTTTTAGAAGAAATGAAAGCCTAAATGTACCATCCCAGCCTCTTTCTAGACTTAATCTGTGATCCCTTTATCATTTCCATTGCCATTGTATAAACCTGTTCCAATTCTCTGAATCCCTCTCAAAAGTGATGCCCACCACTAGAAACAATGCTCAAGGTATGACTTGACCAAAGCAGAATAGAGTGGCATGATTACTTCTTCTGATTTGGAAATTATACTTGTATACTATATTGAGATTGTTGATGCAGCCTTAAATTGTATTTGTCTTCTTTGCAGTCTCATCTCACCATTGGATCATATTCAATATGGATCAATTACTACTAAAAAATCGTTCACAAAATCTTATTACCAAGCTTGGTGTCCCCCTTCCTCTATTGATGTTTGATTCATGACTGAAGAACTTGCCTGTATTAAGTTTCATTCTGTTACTACAGCCTACTATTCTATCAATATTGTTTTGCTCTTTTTTCTTCTAGGGCAGGGGTCCCCAACAGTGGGCTTGTGCGTCTGCTCACACAGAACCATTCCATCTCCCCCCGCCACCAGCCCACCAAGCCAGAAAGGTATAAGGTATCCAACTCAAGTGTATGACACCTGCAAAGTGATATAACTTGAACTTAATCTTTTTATTAATTTACATTAGTAATGAAAACTAATGATTTGAGAATCACTTGCTATCTCTCCAATACGTTGAAGAAACATTGATGAATAATGGTCAAGGGACTGAACCTGAAGACAGAATTTTTATAGATTTCATTGAAGTTTTATAAATTTACGAAGACAGAATGCTAAACCTGTCTAAGGACAGATGTTTAAGTAATTTGATGTTCGCCTTCATATGAAAATGTTTTCCACACTTACCATGATGGCGACCCCAGAGAATATGATGGCTGAGACAAACTGCCAAACCCTACAAGTTCAAATGGGGAAAGAAAAGTTAAGTATCACAATCGTTTAATTATGGCATCCCCTCCAGCCAGCAGTAAATGAAAAATAGTTATTACTACTTCTGCCAAAAAAGGTCGTCTGAGCGATTCCTATTGACAAGAGAATGCAAAATAAAACAAGGTATAGAAGACAACAGGGTTGCTTTTTAAAAACAATTTCAAAACACTTGAGGACGAAAATCACCAGGCAGTTCAGAAAGAGCATGTAAATGCTATCATCCAAACATTGGTAATGAGATTTTCTTTGGAAAATAGGAAATTCCAGCTAGTAATGGAAGTTTTTAAAAATATTTACAGAGCTGTGTTTAATTTAGTTAATGATCTTTCTTCAGTTACGCCATTTCAAGAAGAGATTACTATAATTAATGCCTCCTCTAAGGAATTTGCCTCTTAGTTTACTAGCACAGCGCTGCTAGTAATTTGCCTCTTAGTTTACTAGCAAGCGCTGCTATACCCCAGCAGTCCTCCTGGTCTATTGAACTATAAGTTCTATCGTTCTATAAACAACAATAAACAATGTGATAGAGATTTTAATACCCTAGGTTCATGCAAAAATTTAGGCACTCCTGGTTAAATTCTATTTGTTAAGTGAAGAGAAACTGATCTCCATGGTACAAAGTTAAATTTGACCTCTTTTGGGTTATTTGAATGAATACTTACTATTTATGTGCAGCTGTTTATAGATTTAGAAAAGTGACTATAGTAGGTTTAAATTTGGAAAAACTTTTCAGCCAGTAATTGATAATACTTCCTTTGGCAGAAATAACATGTTTCCTCTTTAGTCTGTTACAAGTGTTACTATCCTTGCTTTTGGATATTTTTTCCACTCTTCCTTAAAATTCTTATAGCTCCATTCTTCTGTTTGTGGAGGTTACAAAGATTATTTTTGGCAGATAACTGCAGATAACTGTACACAATGTTATTGTGGCACACACTTTTCCAACAATAGACTGTTACTCGGGATTAACATTACCCTCCGGAGCCTTGCAAGTTGATGCCACACAAATATGCCTTTAATATACAAATCTGAAAATCTGAAAATAAATTGGCATACAACTTTTGCCACCCTCCAAAATTTCTTGCACTGCATAGAATGAGGTGCTACCTCAGTGAGGTCATTCCTTTTCTGGTTGCTCCTGAGCTCCAGGCCAAATTCTAAGGCTTGATCTTCAGCAGTGTTGCTTTTGAGCTCTTGGCTGAGGTCCCAAGCCAAGCTCAAGGTAGGAATCCCACCAGAATTTGCTTGTGGTCCTTGACTTTTAGGAAGAAGCATGAGCTGTGCTAAGCCTTGGGGAAGTGGGGATGGAAAGTATTTCTGCCTGACTGCAGTTGTTTTTCCCAAGAGCAGATATCACTTTAGAAAAAAATTTTGGATCATCATCTTGCTTAAGTATCAGCTTCTTCACTGACAGTGGGACATTAGTGTTTAGGATATATTGATCGCTAATTGAATCCATGCTTCTTTTTTTCTACTCCTATAAGAAACTGCTGATTGTCCCACCCTTCCAAAACACAATAGATCCAATACAGTGTTTAATCGTTGGCAAAAAGTTTTTTTCTTCAAATATTTCAGCCTTGTCCTCCAAATGTATCATGTTTGGTTGTGACCAAACGTTCAAAGAGCAACTGTACACATCCATACAAGGATCAGCTAAACTTTTCAACTTATTCTTTAGAGTGATTTGTAACTTCTGCTTTGCAGTTCTGATCCATTTTCACACAGTTATTTTCTTGGTCTTTCATATTTTTCTTTAGCTGCAAAATTCATTTACAATATTTTTCATTTCTTAGCGATGTCTATCATAATGGAAATTGCCAGCTGGAAGCATTTAGAGAGTTTTTTTTCTATAGCCTTCCTGCTTTTATTTACTATTTTTCAAATCTCAGATAAATCCATGATTGTTGGAAGTAGAAAGAGACTATAATCATAGCCTAAGACAGACATGTCAAACTCGCGACATCATGTGACGTCGCGCAATGTATCGGAGCTTTTTTGCCATTGCCGGCAAGGGAGTGGGCGCTACTCTGGTGTGATGTAACTGGCTCATGGGCCAGCAGTTTGACACCCCTGGCCTAAGAGGTTAGACAACTCTGAATATTGTTAAATTGTCTTTACTTGGCTAATCGTAGTCTATCATCTTTTGAAGCCTATTCAAAACTTTACAATAATAACATAAAAAATATCATGTGCATGTTTGTGTGTGTCCAGTCTTCTGCCTCTGCCATATTCACTGCTTCTTATTCTGAATCAATACATGACAGCCCATAAAGGCACTTGAATCTGTAGAAAGATAGGTTTAACTTTTTACCATGGAAGAAGTTGTGTCAATTTCTCTTCACTTGGGGAATTCAATGACTCATACAACCATTTTTTGCACACCACTGTAAACACTTGATTGAAAGCATTCCAAAACATTCTTGAGCTTATTTGTTGTTCCTGATGAACTTGAGAAGGGAAATAGATCTTTTTCTCTGATGCATCATCTTAATGATGTAAGTAGTAATGTGGCTGCAGGTATGATGGTCCCTATATTGTGGAATGAGTCACATTCCACATATTTTGGAAAACTTTACTGAATTGTTTCTCATCAATAAAAATATGGTGAATACAGGCTAAACTACCTAAAGCCTTTTTTGATTTGAAAGAGGACTGGGAGCTGAGAGACTACTGGCGGGAACGCAATCAGGAAGAGAGAGACTTTACTTTCTTTTCAGACAGACACCAATCCTTTTCAAGAATTGATTTTTTCTTGATTACAACTGATTTATATTTTAGGGTAAAGAATGTTAAGATTTTTCCTAGGACTTTGACGGACCACAGTCCAGTTTGGATGGAGTTGGCGGATGAAAAAGAGGAGAGGAGATCATGGAGGATCAATGAGAACTTATTTAGACAAGAAAAGAATGTTCAAAAATTAAAGGAGCATTTAAAGGATTATTTTGTTTTAAATATGCATAAGGGAACATCAATGTCAATGGTATGGGATGCAGGTAAAGCCTTCATGCGTGGTATCTTGATACAAATGAATAATACTCACAGACAAAAGCATATTCAGAAACGTAAGGATTTGGAAGACGAGATTAAATTAAAAGAAAAAATTTTGATTTCAAATCCTACAGATGAAAAGGTTAAAGAATCTATAAAATTGCTTAAATCACAATTTAATATGTTGATGGCTGATCAAACTGCAACTAACTTACTGTATATGAGACAAAATACATTTTGTAATGCTAATAAACCAGGGAGATGGTTGGCCTACCAACTTAGAAAACAACAGAGACAGTGAATTATAGATAAAATAAATCATAATGGTAAATTGGTATATCAGAAGGAGTTGATTAAGAAATCTTTTTTAGATTATTATCAAAAATTATATAAGAGTACTAAAATACAGGTCTCAGATATAGATAATTATTTAAATGAAGCCAACTTCCCTAAATTAACAGAAGATCAGAAACAAGAAATTAATAGTCCAATTACTAGTGAGGAAATTGAGACAGTGATTAAAGAACTAAAATTAGGTAAAGCACCGGGTACAGATGGTTTGACATCTATTTATTATAAAACTTTGGTACAAGCGATGATTCAACCTTTAAGACAGCTTTTTAATAATATATTACAGGGTTTAGAGATTCCCCCGTCATGGGGCAGAGCCTTTATATCTTTAATTCCAAAAGAAGATCAAGATCTTACTCTACCAAAGAATTATAGACCTATATCTCTTTTAAATGTAGATTATAAGATTTTTGCAAAAATATTAGCTAATAGGCTTATGAGGGTTTTGTGTCAGATTATACATAAGGATCAAACGGGTTTTATAACTGGAAGGTATATGAAGAATAATGTCAGACAAATTATTAACTTATTAAAATATCTAGATAAAAATAATCAAGTCTCTGCAGGATTGATATTTTTAGATGCTGAGAAAGCTTTTGACCAATTGAATTGGCAATTTATGTTAAGACTAATCGATAAAATGAACTTTGGAGAAAAAATTTCACAAGCTCTTGGTGCTATTTATCAAAAACAAACGGCACAACTTATAGTTAATGGGGGCTTGTCAGAGGTTTTTAGAAAAGGGGACTAGACAGGGATGTCCATTGTCACCTTTGCTGTTTGTTTTAACTTTGGAAATATTGTTGATTAAAATTCGAGAATCACAGCAAATAAAAGGAATAGAAGTTAACAAAAAAGAATACAAACTAAGAGCTTTTGCAGATGACTTGGTGGTTACCCTGTCCCAACCTACTCACTCTGTAATAGAGTTATTACAATTGATATATCAATATGGACGGGTTTCGGGGTTTAAAATTAATAACAATAAGACTAAAATACTACCCAAAAATATGACTAATATGGATAAGCAGACTTTGGTTAATTTGACAGATTTTGAGGTTGTTGATAAGGTAAAATATTTGGGGGTTACTTTATCTGTCTCTAATGTAAAATTGTATAAAAATAATTATGAAAGGTTGTGGGTCAGGATACAAAGAGACTTGAAAAATTGGGAGAAGTTGCAATTATCTCTTTTGGGAAGAATTGCGGCGATTAAAATGAATGTCCTGCCTAAATTCCTTTTCTTATTTCAAATGATACCTATCTTAAAGAATGAGGTCAATTTAAATGAATGGCAGAAAGGTATCAATAAATTTATCTGGGCGGGGAAAAAACCAAGAGTAAAGCTTAAAATTATACAAGATATTCGTGAGAGAGGTGGACTCAAGGTACCGAATTTGAAATTGTATTATGATGCTGTGGTCTTAACATTAATTAGTGATTGGGTTAATTTAACAAATGTAGAAATACTCCTCTTGGAGGGTTGGGATTTACTTTTTGGATGGCATGCCTATTTAATTTTTAATAAAAAAGTTGACCGGGTTTTTAAATCCCATATTATAAGGATTTCTCTACTTCGGGTTTGGAGGAAATATTACAGAAGTGATTCTAAAATACCATTATGGGCTATACCTTGGCATGCGATAGAGGGGATAAGGAGAGGAGTTAAGATGGATAGTGTTTCTTATGCACAATTGCTTAGATGGGATGGTAAAATTTGGCAGTTAAAATCTTTGGAAGATTTAGCACAAGAAAATATTATATATTCATGGTTTCAGTACAGACAAATAGCGGACAGATGGAAGATAGATCGTAATGTGGGCTTGCTTAGAGAAGATGAAAATTTTGTTAAACAAGTAAAAGATCAAAGACGAACTCATATTAAGAGAATTTATGGGTTGCTAGTAGAATTGGACTCAGAACCAGAATTAATTAAAGAATGTATGATTAAATGGGCACAAAATTTTGGTGAACCAGTTCTACTAGATACCTGGGAAATCATCTGGGTGAGAAATGTTAAATTTACACAAGCCCAGAACTTAAGGGAGAATTTTTATAAAATGTTTTATAGATGGCACCTTGATCAACAAAAAATGTCTCGTATGTATCCCGACTTACAGCCCAAATGTTGGAGATGTGGTTGTTTGGATGCTACTTATTACCATATTTGGTGGTCGTGTAAAAATATAAAAGCCTTTTGGATTAAGATATGGTGGAATATTCAAAGAATTTTTAGAAGGAGGGTAAAATTTACCCCACAATTGTTTTTGCTAGGTATTGTTACCGATTGTGATACTAAGGAGGTTATATTGATGTTAAATTTAATTACAGCCGCAAGGTTGTTAGTAGGGCAATACTGGAAGAAGGAATCTTTGCCTACTTTGCAAGAGTGGTTTTTTAAAGTATCCTATCTGGCGGAAATGGCAAAGATTTCGGCTTTTTTAAAGGATCAATCGCAAGAGAAGTTTTTTGTGGTATGGGAAAAATGGATAGATTTTATACAACATAAGTTGGATATAAAAATATTACTTAGTTTATCAATAATTTATATATAAATTTTAATATTTTATAGATTGTATTATTTTTTCTTTTTCTTTATATGTTTTATTATTATTTTACTTTCTTATATTTCTTTTCTTCTTTCTTTCTCTTTATTCTTCTTTTTTTTAAGTATCTTCTTTTTCTTTTTTTTTCTTTAATATTTATCTCTTTTATATATATATATATATATTATTGTTAATTATTCTATTAGTAGTTTAAGTAATGTATTTAGACTTATCTATGGTTTATATATATATATATATTTTTAAGAATTCAAGAAAATTTAATTAAGCCTATATTCAGCTCTGGGAAAGTTGAGGGAGGGAGTGGGAGGGTTGGGGTGGGTTGAGGAGGGTTGTTCTTTCTTATTTTGTAAAATTTTAAAAATTTTAATAAAAAAAAAATAAAATAAAAATATAGTGAATATCACCGCTAGAAAAATTAAGGGATATTTTTATTCTTATTATCACCAGCTTATTTACATCATCTAAACCAGGGGTGTCAAACTGCTGGCCCGGGGCTGGATATGTCATGCTGAAACTGCACGTCACATGACATTTTGAGTTTGACACCCCTGATCTAAACTTTTCAATTGGTATAGTGGTTAAAGATATTGGATTAGAAGTCAAAAGACCATGAATTTAGTCCTGCCTTTGGCATAAAAGTCAACTCAGTGACTTTGGACCAGTCCTCTCTCAGCCACAGAAGGGCAATGGTAATCTACTTCTGAAATGTTAGCAATAGCAATAGCACTTAGACTTACATACCGCTTCACAGTGCTTTACAGCCTTCTCTAAGCAGTTTACAGAGTCAGAATATTGCCCCCAGTAATCTGAGTCCTCCTTTTTACCGACCTTGGAAGGATGGAAGGCTGAGCCAATCTTGAGCTGGACAGGTTCGAAATCCTGGCAGTGGGCAGTGAGTTAGCCTGCAGTACTGCATTCTAATCATTCTGATAATGTATTAATACTAACAGGTGAATACAGATTTAAGCTTGCAACACCCTAGTCCAAGCTCAATGTCTTAACCACTGTGTTCTTGAATTCTCTTCCTTTTTAGAGCCATTCAAACTCAAGGTTATCTTCTTGCTTAAAATATACCCTGCCAGCACTTTAAATCGAATTTCAACAGCTGTTTAGAGCAGTACAGTATCTCATCCTTGATAGTATATTGAAGGGAGAACTCTGTAACATACAGTAACATACAGTAGCCAATTGCAAATACCCCACAGCCAACTGTAATTAAGAACTCTAAACCTAAAGCCTTCTTCCCACTGTTTCTGCATACATATGCCCAGACAGTATTCTTCATATTGAAAAGCTAAAGAACCAGGACATGCCTCTAGAGGCAAGGTTGAACTTGCCACATTGGGCTTTTTCAGCTGCAGAATGATCATGTACACATTTGCAGGAAAAGCAAGCATACCTGGAGCCAAAATGTCTCCTTGGCTCATAGGTTCTCAATGGAACTTACCTGAGCCCCAAAGGTTCCCTCACTGCAAACTTGATTTCATTGCCCAAGACTTGACTGATCTGAAATTCAAATGAACAGAATGAATAAACTGACTCAGAGCCACCCTGAAAAAAAAAATTAGGAAAAAAATGCATGCATATTATATTTCTGGTCCACAAAAAAAAGGATCAATAAATGATATTTGCTGCAAGTGAAACTATGACTAGTAAAATAGCTCACTGATACTCTAAACCACCTTATACCAGTTTTACTTTATTGCCAACTGCACACCGTTTTTGCATTTGTAATAACTCACAGGTGGAAGATTTGACCTGTTACTCATTACATTGCAAACTTTCTCAGGAATGCAAAGCTAGATTCATTATACCCTTGTTAATCAGTCTAGTTTAGAAGAAAATAAAATCTACTTTTTTGTTGTCTGACGAAAACATACATTAACAAAACAAACTGCATTTTTTGCAATGGTTGCAAGAAGAAGGCACATCTTGACAAATAGTGTCGTTAATATTAGAGGGAATGTATTGAATCGACAGTGGACTGCTGTAATTTTATCTGAATTTTGCTAAAACCTATGGCTGAAAATAAATGTTCAAATAAACCATATACCAGATGCTACTCTCTCATAATGTGTAATCTACAACGTTCAAAACTAGTCATATTGCCAATAAATTATGAGCCCAAAGCATCTAGGGAATGCCAGTTTTGAGAAGGATTGGTTTATACAGATGGCAAATAGGTTGCCTATGCCCAAATCAACAGTCACCCTTTGTATACAATCAGCAGTATCAGCCTTCCCCAGATGCCAGAAATGGCAGGAAGTTGAACTGATGGTTTAGCTGATGGGTAAAGGGGTGTATTGAGATATTTCTCAGCAATTTAAAGCTGCCTCTCTATAGGAAAGGACATCTGAAATATAGGGAATTGCTATATCAAGAAATCAGGAAAACTCCAGTTCAGTATTCTTCCACCTCTCCTGTGTCTCTGATAGCAATTCTCCAGGGATTCAAACATCTTGAGTGGCCTACTAAAACAGACTATGGGGGTTTTTTTGCACAAAGAAAATGTGATTTATCACTTGCATATGATCCTTTTGCAAACATCTTGGGGGAACAGCACAGTCTGATTGTGCAAGTTTGAACAAGTAAGTGGGAGGATGGGAAATGGGAACAAAGAAACTCAGTATCTCAAAGTTGACTGCCTGAAAAACAAACAGTCCCAAGTGACTCAGGAAAAATTGGTGAAGCCATTCAGATCATCCTTCCTTCAAAAGAAAAAGGATGGTTAGAATTGGTTTTCAAAAAAGTCAATTACACAGGCTTTAATTTAAAAGGGCAAAAACTGTGGAATCCACAGAAAGCTATCTGAAAGTAACTGCAAATTACCAATGCTCATTATAGGTTACATCTAATGCAGCGTTCCCAACATGGTTTAGTACTTATTAAGATGACTCCAGGGAAGAGAACCAGAAAATGTTTAATACTTTTCCAATGGATTGCACTCAATATTCACAACAGGCAAAAGAATGGATTTTGGTTTTAAGATAAAGAACAGTGAGTTCAAAAGGCAGAACTTTGCAGCCTGTTGCAGAGATTTATTTTTTTAATTTTTATTAATTTATCAAATTTATTTTCCACCCATCTCATGGCAGAGAGAGGGAAATGCCCTAAAAAAGACAGTTAAACATGGTTTTAAAAAAAGATAATAACACAATGAGTACCCCAGCAAAGTATCTTGGTGTAATCAAGAAACTACAAATCACAGGAAAGAGAGAGGCCCAAGGAAGCAAGAACAAAGGCAATTTAAACAGCCTTCAGTTGCTTCCTGCCGGCTTAGCATTATCAGCTAGGGAAGCACAGTTTGCACATACATTACATCGTTATTTCCTGCTTTTAACAAATTATACAAAAGCAACTGAAAAGTTGGCAAAAGCAAAAAAAAAAAAAAAAATAGCTCACTGGATAGGCCAAGGCCCTACTACTTTATTGGGCTATAGGGTGGCTTTAGAGAAGAAGAATTAAACATAGTTAGTTAGTTAGTTTCCCCAATACAAAAAACCATCACCCCTCATCTTAAATAGAGACCAATATCCTCTTCAAGAAAGTGATATTCTTTGGAATGGGATGGAATTGCAAAGGAAATCACCAAGCCATAGAGATAAAGTTCCCAAGCTTTGGGATTCTACAGACTGAAGCCAGCATATTACTATGTAAAAAATAAAATTGTTTTTCCTATGTGATCTTTAAGCTTCACATGCCAATTAGAGTGTTGTGTAACCATGGAGATCTTCAGGACACGAGTTACTCTTGCCCATAGGTCCTCTTACTGTTCCAAATTCTGTGAACTCTTAGCCAGAAGTCTAGTGTTTTTCTGAAAGTTTGTCATACTTTTTGGGGGGGGGGAGAGAGAGAAAGAGAGAGAGGGAGAGAGAGGAAGAGGGAGGGAGGAGAAAAGAGAAGGGAGAGGGAGAGGGAGAGAGAGAGAGAGAGAGACAGAGAGAGCTTTGAAAATATCTACAATGGGGAGAATCTGCCAAGAAAAAAAAATCCTCCATAAAACAAAATGGAGCACTAAATTAGTTCTTTACAGAAATTGTTTGCCGTCTATATAACTGTATTATGGACTCTTTCCAATGACCTTTTAAAATTACCAACATTTTAAAGTAATTCTATTTTTCAAAAAAAGGTTACTGTAATTCCACTTTCAGAACAGAAAAGGCTATATACATGAATAGCACCTGTTCAGAAAGTCATCTGACAAGGATCATTCTAAGTTGCTAAGCAACTGCTGGGGTTCAACGACAAAAGGTCAATCCATTCATTAAAAATACAACCGATTGTAAGAAGCAGAGTTCACACAGAGAAATGGACATTGCAATCACATGGACTCAAGAACCTTCTCCCTGTTTTAACGACACCACTTATTCACGCTATGAGGGACATAGGCAGTTTCTAAAATTTGATATATAAATAAATAAAAATCACAAGTAGAATAAACTGCTCTTCTGGAAAGGGTGATAAAAAACCTAGAGCAGAAAAAGGGAATGAATGACATGCAGTGGCAATGGAAGCAGTGGATTACAACAGCCCTGGAAAATCCCAGACACAAAGGTAGTATGGCTGCCTAAATTCACCACACAGCATTGCCCCAATCAGAAAGGACTGGATCTGTACATTCCACGCTTAGATTTGCCAGGAAAAAAAAGCAAAACATTATCTTTTCCTCTGACAACTTAGCTTTTGAATTTGGCCATAGAAGTCACACTTTGCAACATGGGCTGTCGAATTCACCCTCTTGGGCCCTATTAAAATGCATTCATTCAACAATGAATCAGCATCAGCAGATTCTCAGACATTAATGTTTCCTTGAATTTTTCTTCCGTTTCCTTTTCAGTTTTTGTCCAAGGGCATTTCATTCAGGACAAAGCATTTCATTTTTGCTTTTAATTTTTGTTTTTGAATAAGAAGCAGTGCCCAAGAAATACAGTTAGAAGTAGGCATGCAATAAGGAGGAAAGGGAAGAGAACTGTATAAACTCTTCCTTTCTGCTGTTTTGCCCATTCAAAGAGGAGCACTCAGAGGACATGCTTATCTCAGTTGAAGTGTTATCCATCTCGCTGACATTTCTATCCTGCCACAGGAAAGCTACCAATAAATGGTAGTGCACTCTGAAGACCTTTCACCTTTTGTACAACCCATGGTCAGCTGCTACTTCTGTTTCCAAGCTCACTGATAAGTGTGTGTGAGAGAGAAAGAAAGACCAGTTGGAAACATCTGGACCAGGGGGCAATACTCAAAAACTAGTACATCAACATAAAATGGCCAATAGGTGCTAAGTTGAGTCCACACTTTATAGAGATACCTGACCAAGTGGTCAGTGAAATTGTCCTGGCTGACTACCTGAAAAACTACTTTAATTGTAGAATCACTAAGGAGGACATTAAGCTGCCTCAGGTGTGAGTTGTGGATGAGTTGAAGGCAACAACATGAAGAAGTGGCAGAAAAAAACAGCTGGCTGGGGCATGTTTATAACTCATGGGTCAAGCTATGTAGCAGACTTCAAAAGTCACATTTTCACAATTTAAGACAAATAAAATAAAAAAAACTAAAAGTCTCATCAAAATTTGCACTAACTGATATGTAACAGACACATATTCAAATTCTACCATGTGATAACTGTCCATGCTAGCTGGGTTGCAACCTAAATAGCCTTTGCCCATTTAAGAAAATCTAAACTATTTAAGGTGCGATATGGTTAATCCTTGGATGGGAAATCGTTGGGCATAGAACTTTAGAGTAGTCCGGAAGTTGATGAAACATTCTGAAAAGCAACAACAGGTTAACTGTACACTTCTTCGTCATCCCACTTTAAGGCAATTGATGCTTTGTGGCACATCATTGATCAAAGGTAAAAACAGTTAATGTGAGAACATTGTGAGAAAAAGGCACAAAGACAGAAGAAGAGAGATACGATAGCTGTATTGAAAAAAGAGGAACTTTTTGAGTTACCTAGAAATCAAAGCTCTCCATTCTTTCATTTTAGAGAACCATAGGTTTTCTTACATCTACAAAGATGTGTCTCTAATGAGCTGAGAACAGCAGCTTCAACCATCCACCCCCACCACCCATCCCCATAGGCCTCACAATTCCCACCCACAGCTGTGAAGCTATCCTCAAGCTTTTGCGATTAATTCACATACACCAACAGTTCAGTATGTATGTGTCAGTAGAAAGGGGTTATGCAATTGATTAGAAAAAATATAAAATTAAGGGGAAACCAAAGCAATAAATACAAACTATGAATTTCCATTTTCTCCTGTCTCATCTGCCTTGCTTTTCAAGTGGAGTTTCATTCCTTCCACCCAGGCTTAAATGTAGCATTTCCTCTCTGCCATTAACTGCCTCTCCTTTTCCATCTGATCATTCAACCCCCTTCTTTCCAAATAACAAAAAGTTTAATTTTAAAAAAATATTGTTTGTTGAAATGCTGTTTTGAACTTAGGAGAAATCATGGTTTCCAAGAACTCATGCACACAACCTCTCAATGCTAACTTCTGCTAAACATTCTGAGACGTTTGTCCTACAAACCTGACCACTATTAATAAGTTAGTCCTACCCCAAGATATTTTTTGTGCAACTTGCAGACATTGTTCCCAACCACCTTCTTTCTTCACGTATATACCGTGCAATCACCCTTCCTTTTTAATCGAATAAAATATTTGAGTAATTAGGTTAATAATTCCCCAATCCTCAATTCTGGATTCAAAAAAAAAGGGCATTTGTTTTTTGCTTGTAGGTATGACCAAACAAGATGCAAACAAGAAACACAGATGCAAGGGCTTGATGAAGACAGATTCTTTCTTTCCCTCACCAAGTGTAACAATCTTTCAAAAGTCAACATGTCAAGGGACAGAGCAGGCTCTTGTTAGTTTTGAATCATTCTACATATACACAGCCTTTGACATGAGGATTTGGAAACATCTGCATTGTTTGCATACAGATCACAGCATTCTTTACTCTGGCTAAATTTACAGAAATTGGAGTCTAAGGATACCCAGGGGCCATTGGTTTACATTCCATCAACTCTCTCATCTTTTTTTAGAAACTTAGAGGAAATAAGAACATAATTAGTCCCCAAACACACTTACACCCTCTCTCAGATACACTCATTCTATCTGATTAACATTAATAGTGTTAATAGCAGATTTATCCTCTATTGAAAGGAAATTCAGATTCTGGATGTTTTTATGAACATAGCATACAATATTCATATTGGGTAGGTAACTCTTATGGAATCCACCAGCTTCTTCTGTCCAGCTGAGTGTCAAGTTGTAATCTTCCAAAAGTTGCTGGATTGCAACTCTCACCATCCTTCACAAAGGGCTTTGCATTCAGGATTCATGGGTTTTGGAATTTTAAGAATTTCTGGAGGATAGCATGTTCCTCATCCCTGCCTAACCTCATTTCTTGCAGTTCTTTCAGTATGTATTCAAAGCATATAAGTATATAAAATGTTTTAGCAAGAAGAATTGTTGATTCTAAAGGTCCACAATTATAGATACTTTTGGCAGCCCATTACCTTTGACCTATGAACCTCGCCATCATCATCCTCCCCACCAACACCTAAGATCTTCCTTGTCTTCAGACGGCTCACAAGGTCTGTCTGGCTGTGCTTCTTCATCAGAGGGGGGGGCTGCTTGGTTGCCATGGTGACTCGCAGGGACTTGCTGGCTTGGGCAGGAACTGAAATGAGACAGACCAGAGGTTAGATAAATTAGAAAAAAAAAACCATATTTCTTAGGGAGGTTCAAATCCAGATATTTTTAAAGATGTTCATGGACATCTTTTTCATTTAATGTAAATGATTTAACCAAACACAGTATGTCAACTATTTTATTCTTTTTGTTACAAACTTCTAATTACCCCCAACAATTGCAATGATCAAATATTTTTTGACCGTGAGATATTTACTTCCACTTGAATGATGAGAGCACACTAAAATCCCCCCTCACAGTGCATCTACAATCATGAAAATTTAGACAGGAACAGGCAAGTGTGGCAGTAAATTTTGCTTCTCAAGTCATATCTCAAAGGACTCTTAAACATTTACAAGATCACCTTTTTCATGCTTCTTAGTCTGGAGAAGCAATAGCAACAAAACATTCAGACATAGGATTCAGCTCACAAAACAGGGAATCACAGGGATCTGCTTCAGTGAGATAATCTGCCTTGCCTCACAAAGGTGTTGCACACCACTCTGGCACTGCAAAATTTTGGCCCATCACTCTAATCTGCCAAAAACCAAGTTGGGACTCATCAGCATCAATTGGTCTATCTACCTCAAAAACAGTAGCTGAACACAAGAAGCTCTTGCTGGGCAAAGCCAAGAGTCACTTTTCTTGAACCACTGCTGAAGTAAAATATCTCTTTGTGCATAACCCTAGAACAGGGTTCTCCAAACTTGGCTGCTTTAAGACTTATGGACTTCAACTCCCAGAATTCCTCAGCCAGCATGCCTGGCTAAAGAATTCTGGGAGTTGAAGTCCACAAGTCTTAAAATGGCCAAGTTTGAAGACCCTTGCCCTAGAACCTTATAAGCACCTAATATTTGGTTCCACTCCAATGTTATTTCCATAACAATCCATGTGTTCTACTAGTGCCAGAGAAAGATTTACCTAAAGACAATCACTAAGATCCAAGGGGGAATGGGAACCAGGATTTCTATTATCATTATCTAATACTCTGAGTCAACTTTCCTTAACTTGGCATTTCCTAGGCACAAGTGATCAGTTCCTAACAGTATGACGAATTGTATTGTAAAGCAGCTGCTGCTAGAATAGAAACCTTTAATCAGGCCGTTCACATTCCTGAAGATCAGCCATTTCCACTTTGGAATCACCAAGATAAGTTGTGGTCATGTCTGGCCACGCTGGCTGAGAATTCTGGGAGCTATATTCTCAACACATCTGGAGGGACATGTGTCACAGATTAATGTTTTTGGTATCTAAGATTTCTCGCATTCTGAAACAAGACAGGGCAGTTATTGAAATCTACTGGAGACAGCTGCTTTGTGTGCTTTGTCTTATTAATTATAGTGGGTGTGGGAAGCTTTGTTATCAGCCAAGAGCCTGTCTTCCCTCCAGCTCATAGAAAGTGGGGGAGGTTTATGATTCTAAAAGAATTATAGGAGGTTTGCTATTTCCAGTTCTATTTTAAAGACAAGAAAGTATAGCATTTAGTCATGCCAGTGTGCCCCCATGTCCAAGATGCAGAGAGAGATAACATAAATTAAAATCCGGCAATGATGATGGTAATATAAACCAATTTGTAAGAGATTGTGGTACCACAAGAAAAAAAATGGCAGAGAAAGGGGTCAGTATTGAGCTATAGTCCAGAACCTTGAATGAACAAATCATATGAACATTTCTCATGATCATTTTTACAGAAAAAAATCCATTCTATTGGAATTAATTTTTAAGCAAGTATGCTTTGGAAATTGGCTTCATTTTTGCATTTTTGTTTCCATAGATTAATTATAATTCATATCAGAAAAGTGCTTTCTTCCATTAACCACAGAGATGGAGAACATATTCTCTCTCTCTCTCTCTCTCTCTCTCTCTCTCTCTCTCTCTCTCTCTCTCTCTCCACATATTTGAATGGCACCTCAGATGAGAAAGTCTTTTAAAACTACACCACAGCATGAAACAGTGTGAAAAACAAAGTTGTTCTAGGGAGAAAAAAGTTTAATTTTTCTAATCAACATGCAACATGGACTTCCCAAGATAGACAATATTTATATAAGTTGAAATGCAGAGATCTAAAGAACACCCCATTGGGTAAAGCTATTAAAAAAAACATGAAATCCCATTAAAATACTATAGCTCAATAATTTATTCTCTTCCTAATTTTCTTTTAATTTCCTAACACTTTCCCCCCGCTATTGAGGACAAAACTGATTTCTTTAGCATTTTAAAATTAGATGCAATATAATAACTTGGACTACAAGGACTTTTAAAGCAATTAGAAAAGACAGGATAATAGAACATAAAATCTACCCAATACATTTTGTTCTCTTTAAGTAATAGATACAATCTTAAAACCATATATTTCAAAGCTATTAACAGAAGCGCTGATGCCCATGGGGAAAGTTAATCATTCCAGTGATGTTAATTAAAAATAGAGAAGGAGATAATTTATGTCACTGAATTGGGCAACCTGAACAAAATATCAAAACAAAGAAAAATTGCCATATTGATGAGAAATGTTTTCCTAAAGCAATACCCTTCAGAATTTTGGGGACTTCAAGTGTCCAAATTCTCAACCAATTTGCTTCGTAAAGAAAAAAGGAAGGAAGGAGGGAGGAAGGAAGGAAGGAAGGAAGGAAGGAAGGAAGGAAGGAAGGAAGATTCTTATGCAGCTTTTTTTTTTTTTTTAGCCAGAGCAATAGGAAGTCTCCTTAAGGAGACTGCTTATTTTTCTGCATATACGTGTGAGAGAGGATAACAGAATAGGTCTGATGTCTTTGCGGGGCATAAGATTGTATTTTATTACATTGTATTTTTTTACTTTAAGGTTACTTAAAGTTATTATCCTCAGATACCATTTGTTTATCTATGATTGTTGTTCTCCCATCAGACTTAATACTCAAGTCCATTTTTACTAAAGTCTTATATTTTTCTCAGTGGATATGTCCAGAAAACAAGGAAATTATCCCTTAGGATCAGTGGTTCTCAACCTGTGGGTCGGGACCCCATTTGGGGTCGAACGACCATTTCACGGGGGTCGCCAAACAACGCAGTCCGCCATTTTTTCCCCCTTTTCCTTAGCTGTGCTACTCCCTTTTATTCTATTGGCTTTTGAAAGCCAATAGGAATTGTCCAGGCTGTCTCTGCCCTGCTGAGCCCGCCAAAAGTCCCATTCTGCAAACGGTGCTGCACCAGTTGAATAGTCCTCGACTTACGACCGATTGAGTAGTCCTCGACTTACGACTGGTTGGGGGTCGCGGCATTAAAAAGGTTGAGAACCACTGCCTTAGATCCTCTGAGCTGGTGGAAGATTATGACAGCAACCTTTTGCTTACAGTGATTTGCAAAGGACTAAAAGAGATCCTGCCAGGGGATCCCATGCGGAAATCGCTTCTCCAATCAGCATCAGCTGTGATATGAAGAGAAAGGGCTACAGGTGCTTTGGAAATGTTATTTGGTGATGCAGCTTACAACTGTATTTCTTCTGAAGAATGATGATCACATATATGCATTTGATTTTTGATTCCTAAACTGAACGACATTGGAATATTCTTTTTCTGATACTCTGATATTTTTCAGTTCATTTCCCCATCTCTCCACTTCTTCATCCAAGTTATTAATGAAAATACCAAATGGTAAAGAATCCAGGACTAATCCTTCTGACACTCTGTTTGATACCGGTTTTCAATTTGATGAGCATCTTTGAATATGATTGTCAAGCCAGTTAGGTAACTAATTAGTTATCAGGAATCTGGCAAGATGGGGGTTTGTTGAGATAGTTATTTCTCTCCTTCAGCAAGTTTTTGACTGTAGTGAAGAAAAATAATAATAATAATAATAATTAATAATAATAATAATAATAATAATAATAATAATAATAATAATAATAATAAAACAAGTCTGCCTTTTTTCTCACTCTTTTAATTTTGGACAGATAAAATTCCTTGTCAATACAAGGTGTACTTTATCTTCTTTTGTTTCACCTCCTCCCATGGAACAGATGGCTTCCCTGGACAGCCCCCACAGCTGTGCCTGACTTTGCTGAAACACTTTGAAATCTCTTTGTGGAGAGTGATTTTCACAGCAGAAATTCCTTTCTGCATCATACTTTGGTATGATACAGAACAAACGTTAAGTGGTTGGTGAAGTTACCAGAAATTAATTGATAAGGTCATAGAATTCACAGGATCATAAGGCTGGGAGGCACCCTACTCAAGGCAGGAGTCTTATACTGTCCCAGTAAAATGATTCTCTGGGACATATTTGAAAACATCCAGTGACAGAACACCCACAATTCCAGGATGCAAGCTGCTGCATAGATTCACTGCTCTTAGTGTCAGAAAGTTTCTCCTTACTTCTAGGTTTTATCTCTCAAACAAACTTCTACCCATTACTTCTTGTCCTGCCCTCGGATGCCCTAGAGAATAAGTCAAGCCACTCTTCTTTGTGACAGTTCCTCAAGTACTGGAAGACAGCTATCATGCCCCCCATCCTATAAAAGTCTAGGTCCCTCAACCATTCATCATGTAATTTAGCTTCCAGACCCTTTATTATCTTTGTTTCTCTTCTCTGCACACTTTCCAGAATCTCAACATCATTTTTGTATCATGGTGACCAGAACTAGACACAGTGGTGTGGTCTCATCAGCATGGTGTAAAGTGGTACTATCACTTCTCATCTTGATGCTAACACTCTGTTGATACAGCCTAGGATTGCATTGGCTCTTCTGGCAAGTTTGGCACAGTGTTGGTTCTAACTGTTGGGAGGGAGCTACAGTAGGTGTTGTAGTGGGCTACTACTTAATTATGAACCAGCAGTGTGCTGAAACTGCCAAAAAAGCCAATGAGAAGTGCTAGGCTGCATTAACAGAGGGATAGTGGGATGACTTTCAGAAGATGCTGGTAAAGTAGCTTCTACTGGAAAAAATGATTTTTTAAAAAAAGCAAAAATAGGCAGATGTTAGACATTATTAAGAAAAAGTCAAGCATGTAGGGGAAA